TGAGATCCCATCCCCACCCCGAAACTATATATACAAATGCTGGGCAAAAAGAGACAAATGCAGTCACAATATTAGAATTGATCCTGGGGTCTGGCCACAACCATAGGGACCTAGTTTCTGAGTCACAGCTTGGAACCAGTTGAGATCCGCACCCCATAACCATACATAAAGTTGCTGGGCATGAAAAATCGAATACAGATATATATGCTACAAGGATTGGCCTTGGGGTCTGGCATATTCCCTTGGATCTCATTTGGAGAATATTCTGCCATGATTGCTTAGATATCCAGGTGAGCGATACAGGCCCTATGGGCCTCTTGTATTGTTCTTAATGGCTTAAATTAAATATTGGCTGGTATAAGTGAAAGCTGGGACCCACAGGAGTCATTGATCTGGCCTATAGAGGAGCCAAGATGGGGAGCTGGCCACCTCATTAACAGTCTGTCCAATTATTGGTCACTTGCACTCTTTCCTGACCAATATTCCCATATCCCCGAGATCTTAAAATTCACCTGAGAATACTGCTGGTCTGGTGAGGCTCTGTGCTCATTGCTCTACAGACCATTGTCGTGAAACTGTTGTGGGTGATAATTTGCTGAGATTGCAGTTCGAGAATAATGTAATGAATTTTACATGCTATTGATTATAGACGGCCAAGTTATTCCGCCACACCCTGTGTTACAGCCTCAGATGTCTTTTACTTGGAACTCTAGTTTTATGGTGTGGTGCAATCTATAATGTAATTTACAGGAGACATATAAAATAGCCTTACTGTGTTACTGTTATGTCCTGCCTAGTAATACATTTCTTTGTCACTGTATTAATACAAATGGCAATCACATGTTTCAAGTTATTTCAGAAAAAAATTTGTGATAAATGTTATTTCAAAATGAATGCTTCTCAGTTTATAAATAAAAATTGCAGAGGCATGCTGAGTATTTAGAAGTTAAAATTGCTGAGACATAAAGTACAATATAAGGAATGAAATTTATTTTTTCAACATTAATGAGGTCATATTACAACACTGGCTTTCTGGTCATGTTACACGATTCTTGGTAAGTATGTCCAGAAAGCCGATGTTGTTATGACCTCATGAATGTTGAATAAAATAAATTTCATTCCGTATATTTACATTTTTAAGTGCTTTGAATTTTCCGATGCAAGCATAAATAAAAACAATACCAGCATTTTTTTCTATTTATGCATGAGGACATAATTCAGTAGAATGAACAGAGTCTATTCGCGGGAAAATTTGAAACTCTCGCTGGTAGTCCTAGCAACAGCATGACAACAAAACAAATTGAATATAGTTCCATTTTCAAAATTTTAATTTGTTTAATTTACACAAGTCGGATATATATATTATCATATTGTACCTTACACACCTCATTTGAGCTTAAAAAAGAAGCCTATCATGTTTAATGTTAATCATATTAGCATAACTAAACTACATCTAGGGCTGTTTGACGGCGGACGTGTACCAATTTTGCCCTGTGCTACTGTCATTGTAGTGTATCAAATATGCGGTGATGAGGTCACCTGTGTTATGCAAAAATGAATGTCATTTTCGTCAATGGGTCCAAGGAAAATGTAAATATATATACAAAGACAATATGTATCAGTGTATATGATCAAATAGTAACAGTGATGATTTCCTAGAACTGTAACAAACTCTTTCACTAAATTTGTTCTTGAATTCAGCATGTGTTATGCTGCTTGTAACACATGTAGGGACCAGGCAAACATCGAAAAAAAGGGTTCTGTGATTCATTCTAACTAGAAAGTATACAAATGCAGCAGACTTTAAATTTACACATATTCTCTGACATTGTCAAGTTGGGGAAAATTAGTTAAGCTGACTGAGACAGGTGACATTTAGATCTGTTGCGGAATCGTAAGTTGATAGGGATGAGGAGTGTAGACGTTTAAATTGTTACAGATCAGGTTACAAGTTCCTAAAATAAACACAGATTACCTTGATAGTTTTCTGGGAACAAAATTATCGGTGATGGATGGAAGTTTCTCATGAAAACAATTGATAGGATTTTGTCTCAGATCAATGTTAAAAAGAAAATTGAGAAAAAAAGGAATTTTATTACAAAAATTACATTACCGGTAAATCTCAATTGATTACATTGATTTGAGACATAATATAAAATTGATATTGATGATGCTTTTTTTTCTGTCACAAAGATGAATGTTATAACAAGTCCTGTTAACCTGGATTCCAGTAGTCTCTAAAGGATGTAGTTTCATGAACAGATTTCATGCTTAATTATTGAATCCTTTTTGTAGTCAGTAGAAAATTGCTTTTAAGATAAGTTTTGTAGGAAACCTGAATGCAAATGTCAAGGTTGCTATTAATAGCATTTTGACACTATATCTAGAGTATAGGCTGATATATATATGTACAAAGTAAGTAAAATTTTCATTCCCAACCACTTATTATATGCACAAATTCAAAAACCCAGAAGTGTTAGTAAATTTTGCTGCAGCCAGTAGATTGTGAAGTGTGTATACAAGGTTTGGTCCTAGTTTGGTATTGATCATTTCCAAAGACTAGGTAATATGTAATCTGCTGAAAAAGAAATGGCTGTCATGTCATCAAGTCTAATGTCACAAAATAAAATGACACTGGAAATTAATAGATGGGTAGAAAAGAAAAGATCTGTCTAATAATAAGCACACAAAGAGGTCTGTTCCTGACACCCTGATTGATTCACAGTGCGATTACATGATTTATTTAACAATGGTTTCTGACTAGTGAAATACACCTGGAATATAGGGCCAAGAATATCCTTCTTTATTGTTAGTCTGGTGTACTGAAATTAGGTGTTGTGCTGCACTACTTACTGAGGTTTGGCAGTTTGTTTACAATGCATAACTTTGTCTGGGATAGTCAGATATCTTATATACTCTCGTGATCACTTACAGTTACCAGATTGTATATGTGAGTACATCTTATAATGACACTAGACTGTTAGTTTCTGATACTGGATCTCATACAGACTGATGGCCCTTTAGTTCCTGTTGACAGACTGTCAGTTTCTGATACTGGATCTGATACAGACTGATGGCCCCTTAATTCCTGTTGACAGACTGTCAGTTTTTGATACTGGATCTGATGCAGACTGGTGGCCCTTTAGTTCCTGTTGACAGACTGTCAGTTTGTGATACTGGATCTGATACAGACTGATGGCCCTTTAGTTCCTGTTGACAGACTGTCAGTTTGTGATACTGGATCTGATACAGACTGATGGCCCTTTAGTTCCTGTTGACAGACTGTCAGTTTGTGATACTGGATCTGATACAGACTGATGGCCCTTTAGTTCCTGTTGACAGACTGTCAGTTTCTGATACTGGATCTGATACAGACTGATGGCCCTTTAGTTCCTGTTGACAGACTGTCAGTTTCTGATACTGGATCTGATACAGACTGATGGCCCTTTAGTTCCTGTTGACAGACTGTCAGTTTCTGATACTGGATCTGATACAGACTGATGGCCCTTTAGTTCCTGTTGACAGACTGTCAGTTTCTGATACTGGATCTGATACAGACTGATGGCCCTTTAGTTCCTGTTGACAGACTGTCAGTTTCTGATACTGGATCTGATACAGACTGATGGCCCTTTAGTTCCTGTTGACAGACTGTCAGTTTCTGATACTGGATCTGATACAGACTGATGGCCCTTTAGTTCCTGTTGACAGACTGTCAGTTTCTGATACTGGATCTGATACAGACTGATGGCCCTTTAGTTCCTGTTGACAGACTGTCAGTTTCTGATACTGGATCTGATACAGACTGATGGCCCTTTAGTTCCTGTTGACAGACTGTCAGTTTCTGATACTGGATCTGATACAGACTGATGGCCCTTTAGTTCCTGTTGACAGACTGTCAGTTTCTGATACTGGATCTGATACAGACTGATGGCCCTTTAGTTCCTGTTGACAGACTGTCAGTTTCTGATACTGGATCTGATACAGACTGATGGCCCTTTAGTTCCTGTTGACAGACTGTCAGTTTCTGATACTGGATCTGATACAGACTGATGGCCCTTTAGTTCCTGTTGACAGACTGTCAGTTTCTGATACTGGATCTGATACAGACTGATGGCCCTTTAGTTCCTGTTGACAGACTGTCAGTTTCTGATACTGGATCTGATACAGACTGATGGCCCTTTAGTTCCTGTTGACAGACTGTCAGTTTCTGATACTGGATCTGATACAGACTGATGGCCCCTTAATTCCTGTTGACAGACTGTCAGTTTCTGATACTGGATCTGATACAGACTGATGGCCCTTGAATTCCTGTACATCTCTTTGTCCAGGATGCACCACACATACTACTTCACCAAAACCTTTAGACTGCTAAGTGTCTTCTACTGAATTGTGAAAGGGGTTTTCATGACCCACATTTTAATATCATATAATAGTAATAATATAATATAATAGTAATAATATAATATAATAGTACTGGACGCAGGCATATGCCTATATATCCAGATCAGGTGTATCGTCAGACTCTAAGCTGACACCCCGACAGTTAATAAGTTCATTATTATCAATTTCATGGTTATAATAGCATTCTGGTTTCCCCCAGTGCTTATCCAGTCGGGCTTCAAACGTTTTTAGTGTTGGTGATGTGACGACGTGGTTTGGCAGTGAGTTCCAATGGGTTGACTACTCTTTCTTTAAAGGCATACTTTCTTAAGTTTAATTTACACATGACATAATTTGGTATTATGTACAGAATTTTAAACGCGATTGTATTATGTACAGAATTTTAAACACGATTGAAGAAATTGATTACATTCATGATAATATGCTTGACTAATGATACTTTTGATGCGATAAAAGATTTACATGTACATTGTATTTCCAGATGTATCATTTACAATCAATTTTTCCAGGTGTATGCTTTTGAATATGACATCATGAAATAACTAGCTGATTTGATATATAGTTGATGTGTATAATTTACAATCTGTTTGTATTTTCAGGCATATGCTGCGGGATGTGACATTGTGATATTAGCCAGTGATTTCCAGAGAGTTCAGATAATCCCAGGGGTCACTCATGGAAATGTTAAGGTCAACTGTATTGATTGTTCCACGGACACCGGCAAGGTAATGCACAGGTGTTACAATGCAGTTAGTTAGGGGAGATAACCTCATCTATACACAGATGTACATGTCACCATTCGCTTTGTTAGGGGAGATAACCTCATCTATTCACAGATGTACATGTCACCATGCGCTTTGTTAGGGGAGATAACCTCATCTATCCACAGAAGTACATGCCACCATGCACTTTGTTAGGGGCGATACCCTAAGCTATACACAGATGTACATGTCCCCATTCACTTTGTTAGGGGAGATAATCTAAGCTATACACAGATGTACATGTCCCCATTCACTTTGTTAGGGGAGATAACCTCATCTATCCACAGAAGTACATGCCACCATGCACTTTGTTAGGGGCGATAACCTCAGCTATACACAGATGTACATGTCACCAGGCACTTTGTTAGGGGAGATAACCTAAGCTATACACAGATGTACATGTCACCAGGCACTTTGTTAGGGGAGATAACCTAAGCTATACACAGATGTACATGTCCCCATGCACTTTGTTAGGGGCGATACCCTAAGCTATACACAGATGTACATGTCACCATGCACTTTGTTAGGGGAGATAACCTCATCTATTCACAGATGTACATGTCACCATGCACTTTGTTAGGAGAGATAACCTCATCTATACACAGATGTACATGTCACCATGCACTTTAATAGGGGCGATAACCTAAGCTATGCACAGATGTACATGTCACCATGCACTTTGTAAGGCGCGATAACCTCATCTATACACAGATGAACATGTCACCATGCACTTTGTTAGGGGTGATAACCTCATCTATACACAGCTGTACATGTCACCATGCACTTTGTTACGGGAGATAACCTCATCTATTCACAGATGTACATGTCACCATGCACTTTAATAGGGGCGATAACCTAAGCTATGCACAGATGTACATGTCACCATGCACTTTGGTAGGGGAGATAACCTCATCTATGCACAGATGTACATGTCACCATGCACTTTAATAGGGGCGATAACCTAAGCTATGCACAGATGTACATGTCACCATGCACGTTGTTAGGGGCGATAACCTCATCTATACACAGATGGACATGTCACCATGCACTTTGTTAGGTGCGATAACCTCATCTATACACAGATGAACATGTCACCATGCACTTTGTTAGGGGAGATAATCTAAGCTATACACAGATGTACATGCCACCATGCACTTTGTTAGGGGAGATAATCTAAGCTATACACAGATGTACATGTCTCCATGCACTTTGTTAGGGGAGATAATCTAAGCTATACACAGATGTACATGCCACCATGCACTTTGTTAGGGGAGATAATCTAAGCTATACACAGATGTACATGTCACCAGGCACTTTGTTAGGGGAGATAACCTCATCTATTCACAGATGTACATGTCACCATGCACTTTAATAGGGGCGATAACCTAAGCTATGCACAGATGTACATGTCACCATGCACGTTGTTAGGGGCGATAACCTCATCTATACACAGATGGACATGTCACCATGCACTTTGTGAGGGGAGATAACCTCATCTATACACAGCTGTACATGTCACAATGCACTTTGTTAGGGGCGATAACCTCAGCTATACACAGATGTACATGTCTCCATGCACTTTGTTAGGGGAGATAATCTAAGCTATACACAGATGTACATGTCACCAGGCACTTTGTTAGGGGCGATAACCTAAGCTATACATAGATGTACATGTCACCATGCACTTTGTAAGGCGCGATAACCTCATCTATACACAGATGGACATGTCACCATGCACTTTGTTAGGAGAGATAACCTAAGCTATACACAGATGTTCATCTCACCATGCTCTTTGTTAGGGGAGATAACCTAAGCTATACATAGATGTACATGTCACCATGCACTTTGGTAGGGGAGATAACCTCATCTATGCACAGATGTACATGTCACCATGCACTTTGTTAGGGGAGATAACACCGATCTACACTGGTGTTCTCGTCACCATGTACACTTTGTCAGGGGAAATAAGCGCAAATAAACACTGGTTTACCTGTCATCACACTTTGTTGGGGAGATATCCACCGTACTATGTATACGAAACGTTGAATTTGGTAAGGGGAGATAAACACAGCTAAATTCTACAGTGTAGAAACACCAGACTTAATTCTACGTGTCTCCACCTTTACAAGTTCATACAACTTGGTTCTTGTTCACTGTAATTTCCCTGCTAAATTGATGCTGATCATGGTATTTGCTGTAGATTGTTGTTATTTCTTTATTATCTTTAAAAGGTGCTTGTGTATGCCATTTCCTGGAAGAGATAATTTTCAGGAGAGATCATTATTATTATTAAATGCTTAACGGCTTCAGAAGAGATACATTTTGAGTTTACAATGCATTGTTTATAAAGGAATTTTAATTTGATGGTTTGTTCAGTTTCTTTTCCTGCTAGGTATTACCTTACTCATTCCATATTTTGATATTCTGGGAGCACAAAGATATACTGAAAAATTTATGACATATCAATATCAAATCTTTGAAAATCTTGTGTTTTGTTACAGATTGCAGCCTCCTATCAAAACAAGGTGTATGTGTTTGAGCCGACCCCTCTCCTTCACCATGAGAGCACCCATGTAAGTGTTCAGAGTTCAGGAGGAGCTTTCCTAATTCTGTCAGTGTCTCTGTTGTTGTTTTCTCTTCACTGCATGAAATCTTATACAAAATAAATGTACCAATTATACCACAAAACAGGAACTGTTCTTGTTTATTTTTCACAATTTTATGTTTACAAATCAGTTTGTTACTAAAATGTAAAATTTTGTGACAAAATATTTGAATTACTTTTAAACTTAGTTGTGAGCTGTATTAGTATTTGTTGCTCCACTATATGTGAATGTGATGAGCACTGTAAGAACCCACTGTTTCACGTTGTGCAAAACATAGGTTGTAACTTGTTGGCCATTAGGAGGAAGCTATTTTTATTGTGATTGCGAGGTATTTTACGCTGATTTTGTTGCTAAATGTATTTCTTTAATAATATCTTTGCTATAAATTGCTAAATTAGATAAAAGCTAACATTTGATAATCACTTTTTTTTTCTCATTTTAAATTGGTAATTTTTTCATCTCATCTATTATTATTTATGTACCTGAAGGAAAAAAGAAATTAGATTTGTCTTTGTATAATTGAAATATTAGTTTCTGATCAATCAGTTACCATTTTAATGAACATTTATACAGTTATTGTAATTTCACCTCATCTTTTTTTTAACAGTTAATAAAAAAATAATCTTTGTATAATTTTAGCTAAATTTCTGAGCTTGAAGCATGATTTTGTTGACATGATGTCTATTTATAGGTTGCCTACTAACTAAAATCAATGAACGACTATGTGTGTGTACTCATACTGATTCTAGAGAATGCTGGGAAAGAATGGGTTACAAATGTTACAGTTTGGGTGTTAAACTAATGAAATATTGATGAAAATCATAGTTGCTTTCATTTTAGCACACTGCAATATTGAGTGTTTTTGCTGTTTTTATATACTTTTTGTTTTACCAAATAGATGACTGATTTTGATGATGATCATGAGGTTTGTAGTAAAATCAACATGTCCTCTTTATCATTACGCACTGGCATTAATATGAACCCTGTCTTACCAACATCTTCATGTATAGATAAGACAAACCGATGAAAGCAAACTTCCAAACATATTTTTGTTCAATTGCACATTGAAGTTGCCTGAAATTGAGTCCCCATCCCCAACTTAAATTAAAATGTCCAAAGCATTATGATTATTTTTCCAGTTTCAAACAAGTTGTGAACATTCCATAAACACCAGCAACAGAACAGAGATATTAAAGATAAGTGCAAGAATAATAAAATGATTAGTTTAAGACTAAGTCTTGACCTTTAGTTAAGTAATGGTATAAATAAGTCATTAACCTCAATGTTTGAAATCAGCATGGCTTTGAGTCTTTACATGATCCAAAAATTAAACTTATGCAGAAGGCAAGAGAAAACCTGAAAACAATTAATTTGAAAGTAAACTTGTCCTTAGCCACAATTTTTTTTTAAACTTTTGATAAGCTTACAGTCTTTCAGATTGGAATTTTAAAGTGTAAAGAAATGCAAAAAGTTTGGTTCATAATCTGTATGAAATGAATTCAGAAAAAGGGTGATTTTTTCTGTACTTATATATATAGTTGAGATTAAGAGAGTAGCTGTTACAATATATTGAGATAAAGGGAACATTTATCTCTATCAAAATACATTGCCAATCTCCAGGGAACTAAGTAGTTTAGACAAGTAGGCAGGTTTGTAGTTAAGTTTGATTCTAACTATGTATAGTGTGCTATCAAACAAAAAAATGTTTTAACAGTCAAATCTATCTTAAGAGCCTCGGCCTAGGAAGTCCAAAAAATAGTCTCTAAACACAGGTGGTCTTATGACAGGTTCAGTAAACACTAGTCACTACACTTGGAGACATTGAAAGTGGTCTCTTAACACAGTTTGTCTTTTAACCCTTTCACCCCTATGTAACTTTAGTAGACTCTACCATGCATTGATCTGGATGAGTCCATTTTGGTCTACAGTGGTGAAAGGGTTAATAGAGGTGGCTGTAAGAGCAGGAGTAGATCATTTAGTGTTAAAATTGTTAAGAAATGAAGATGTCGGATAAGACCGGGTTCACTACACAAAAGATTTTCACATATCTTTACCAGTAGTATTGGATCCAAAACTGCTAGTTCTACGTACCTGGCTTATATAATAATGGAGGCAAACTTTTTATGTACTTCAGGCTTTTATAAATACGATCAACAATGAAAAGTTCATACCATTGATTATAATATCACATAATCAGAAAATATGTTGTGTTGTTATTTCTTCTCGGATTGTCATTGAACAACAACCATCCATGAAGAACCTATAATACCATCGTGTGTCTTTACTTAATGCTCTATTGTAGGTTTTTCTTAACATTGAATTGCCAGCTAAGTTAACATTAAGTCTGAAGTAAAAGCAGATTTGCAAGGCTGTGTAGAGATGCTAGTCTACCTCTAACACTTAACTTGTTCACCCCTGAAATTTTATAATGAACCATTCAAACCTTTGAATTAGAAGAGCTCAAATGTGTCTTTAGGGGTGAATGAGTTAATTTGTGTATTTAAAGCATTTCTTTATTTCTGCCTCAGAAATGGTGTATTTAAAATTTTCACTACAGTGGTTCATAATCATATAAAAATAATAGAACCATATGAATATAAGCCTTTCCTCTTGTAGTCAAGTCTGTCGTCTTTTTGTTGATTTTTTTTTCGAACAATCAGCTTATTTGTTGACATTTTCACGAACAAACAGCCAGTTTGTCGATATTTTGACAAATGAGGATACTTTAAAATATTGGCCAAACAAGCAGTCATTTTGTGGACATTTTGACAGACAACCAGATATTTCAGACATTTTGACAAACAACATGTTATCATTTGCCAAGTAGTCATTTTGTGGAAATTTTGACGATTGAGCAACCTCTTCTCTTGTTTGACAAACCAGCAGCCATTTTGTTGATATTTGTTCCCGTAGGATTCTGACAGCAGTTCGGACGATGACTCATCTTCATGTTCTTCTTCTTCATCCTCGTCGTCATGTTCCTCAGCATGGCAATATTTCGGAGATTCAAATCAGGTTTGGTCCCGTTTCAGATGGCATCGTACTTTGGGGATATCGGTCATATATGTAATAACATTGATGTATGCATGTCTATAGGATCCTAATCGGTTGTTATCAAAAATGCATGGCCAAGTATTCAATGTCATTTGACTGTGTGGTGTAGGGCATGGGTTTATAAAAAGGATCTGTAGTAAGCTAGCATGCAGTATTATTGGAACGATGTACTCAGAGGTACAATAAATAGTCATACACATAAGTTTATTCTTCAGTATCATTAATGATGCATCAAAATAATCTCCTTTCCTTTTGATTTTCTCGTAACTTTGTAAAAAGTAACCTCAAGTGTACGGATGAAACGCTTTGTTGAGGTTATAATCCATTCTTATTTGAGGAATCATTAGCAAATAAGAAGTAAGAATTTATATACAACTCTTGTACATGAATACATGAATAGTAGTTATCGTAGCTCACCTGATCCAATGTGAGCTTATGACGTACTTTGGCATTCATCCTTTATCTGCATGTCCTCTATCTGCCAACAAATTTTTCAAACTACTTCTGATGAACTGCTGAATGAAAATTTCACCTTTTAATAGAAACATCCTGAATTGGGCATTCAAAATTGTACAAAGAGTCCCTTGGGGTGTAATTTAGCCATATTACTTAAGCAACTTTTTCTAGGTGGTGCTGATGGAAAGAGAAGGGACTGATCCCAAAGGGGACCAAATAGGAGTGATTACTTTGAAATAGTTGAGATCCATTCCCAATAGTAATACTCCNTTAAGATAAAAGTAGGCAGTGTTTTCCTGGTATTGATACTGCAGAATTTGTTTCAGGTTTTTGTTTCAGATGCTTTCCTGTCAAACATGAAGATTAACATTATTAATTTAAGTTAGCTTTTGGGCCAATTTGTTATAGTGGCATGTCATATATCCACGGTAGTCTAATGGTAGGACGACGGGCTCATGACCGAAGGGTTGAGGGTTCGAGTCACGGCACAGTGCTGTTTCTTTGAGCAAGATACTTTACTCCGCTTGTTCCAGTCTACTCAGCTGTAAATGAGTATGTGGTTGGGCAGTGCTAGAATTGTTTAATGCTAGCTGTTAGTGCCGAAATGGCAGCTCCGGCTGTATACTTCCCAGGGAGTTGAGAAAGGTATTGGCTTGTTGCAAAGGCCCTATAACCACGGATAATAATTTGTGAATCGCTTTGAGACGACCTATGAACTAGGTTGTGATATAGCGGTATTTAAGAATCTCAAATTGCTATTATTATTATCCATATAACTAGAATCTATGTCTTTCTTCCTGTACCCATTAAATTTAAATATATCAAGGAAATAAGGGGGTAAATTTTCATCGTTTCAAATGTACACGCCATTCATTTATAAAGTCACAACAGAGAAACATAGTCAGCTAATGGTGATGACTTACTTTAGTAGAAAAGCATTGCACAATAAAAACATAGTTTCAATTTGCATCGTTTTGTAAAGAAATTATACCATATTTGATGCAGTAAGTGCCCTGGGCTCTAAGCATATTATGGAAAATAAGTGTAACTGCAGAATATTCCAAAATTCATTAGAAATAGCTATAATGGACACTTTTTCAAGAAAGTCAGTGAATCATTGGGGAGGAGTTGAAAGCTTGGACCAGGAAAAGGATAGGGGGCACTTACAAGGGATGGCACACTTATTATGTCAAATAGGTAGATTGTGACCAAATTATCCGGTCACAGCTTAGAGGTACATTTGTCTCTCTTAAAATTGGATAAAAATTGGATAAAAATATGGTTTTTACATAATGTTTACTAAGAAAAGTTCTGAAGGTAAGAAATTATAATGCATGTGTTATAAAGGTGCTGGTAAATGAAGTATTCTGTGTATGGTCTGTAAGTGACGGTCTACGGGAGTTCCGATGGTTCTTGTTGTTCTATGTTTGTTGAAGAAAAACATAAAATGCTGTCAATTTCCCGACACAACTACTGACATATGCTGTAACAAAGTACTGGGCTTCAAGTGTGTGCATGTTAAGATGGGATGCGGAGGCTGCAGTTTCCATGGGTACTCGGTCTTAAGTGTTCTATAAGTGATACTCTTTTGCATTATTGATGTGGTCTAGGATTTCCTTGTCAATCAATCAACTTAGGCATAAAATAACCCCTAAAATGGTAGCTTGGCAGTATATCAACGTCTGAGTGTTATTATATACATTTATACCGTATCATTGGAAAACAACACTGGTATATAAAACATTATATTATATATACATAGATATAACATATCTGTTTCAATCCATGGGAAGTTGATACTGATACATGCAATATTATATGTATGTACAATTAAACGAAATAACTCTTCACGAGAAAGTGACACTGGTACAACATACACTATTATTATAACATATATCTACACTATTATATACATTTATATAACATATATCTATACTATTATATACATTTATATAACATATATCTTCATAGGAATAAAGTCAACAGTGGTGCAAACATCAGATAAATGTAATATGATGTACAAATTGAACCTAAAATTAGTTGTTCATTTGGTGTGTTTTTTTTAATGTCACTGAGTTTCTGAATAATTTTGTATTAAGTCACAGGAAATTTATTTGTTATCCTTTATACGTATACCTTACAATATTGAATCTTGTACCCTCAGATATCTACTACAGTGTTGACCCTTTGTAGGTAGACATGTCTGTGTTGCAAAAATGTTGAACCATTCTACACTGACATGTTGACCCACTGTACACTGACATGTTGACCCACTGTACACTGACATGTTGACCCACTGTACACTGACATGTTAACCCATTTTACACTGACTTGTTGACCCATTCTACACTGACATGTTGACCCACTGTACATTGACATGTTGACCCACTGTACACTGACATGTTGACCAACTGTACACTGACATGTTGACCCACTGTACACTGAAATGTTGAACCATTCTACACTGACATGTTGACCCACTGTACACTGACATGTTGACCCACTGTAAACTGACATGTTGACCCACTGTACACTGACATGTTGACCACCTGTACACTGACATGTTGACCCACTGTACACTGACATGTTGACCCATTCTTCACTGACATGTTGACCCATTCTACACTGACATGTTGACCCTATGTACACTGACATGTTGACCCATTCTACACTGACTTGTTGACTCACTGTCCACTGACATGTTGACCCACTGTAAACTGACATGTTGACCCTCTGTACACTGACATGTTGACCACCTGTACACTGACATGTTGATCCACTGTAAACTGACATGTTGACCCCCTGTACACTGACATGTTGATCCACTGTAAACTGACATGTTGACCCCCTGTACACTGACATGTTGACCCATTCTTCACTGACATGTTGACCCATTCTACACTGATATGTTGACCCTATGTACACTGACATGTTGACCCATTCTACACTGACATGTTGACCCACTGTACACTGACATGTTGAATCACTGTACACTGACATGTTGACCATCTGTAAACTGACATGTTGATCCACTGTAAACTGACATGTTGACCCACTGTACACTGACATGTTGAATCACTGTACACTGACATGTTGACCACCTGTACACTGACATGTTGATCCACTGTAAACTGACATGTTGACCCACTGTACACTGACATGTTGACCCACTGTACACTGACATGTTGACCCACTGTACACTGACATGTTGACCCATTCTATACTGACATGTTGACCCATTCTACACTGACATGTTGACCTATTCTACACTGACATGTTGACCCACTGTACACTGACATGTTGACCCACTGTACACTGACATGTTGACCCACTGTACACTGACATGTTGACCCACTGTACACTGACATGTTGACCCACTGTACACTGACATGTTGACCCACTGTACACTGACATGTTGACCCACTGTACACTGACATGTTGACCCACTGTACACTGACATGTTGACCCACTGTACACTGACATGTTGACCCACTGTACACTGACATGTTGACCCACTGTACACTGACATGTTGACCCACTGTACACTGACATGTTGACCCACTGTACACTGACATGTTGACCCACTGTACACTGACATGTTGACCCACTGTACACTGACATGTTGACCCACTGTACACTGACATGTTGACCCACTGTACACTGACATGTTGACCCACTGTACACTGACATGTTGACCCACTGTACACTGACATGTTGACCCACTGTACACTGACATGTTGACCCACTGTACACTGACATGTTGACCCACTGTACACTGACATGTTGACCCACTGTACACAAACATATATCTACCACTAAAGCCTCAGTTTCTGCTTTGTCCACAGAAGTTGGACTACCAGTGGTACCAGACAGCCATGTTTGAGACAAGCTGTTTTATCAACTGTATCACCTGGAACATGGAGGGTAAGTTGTTATATCCGATTTGTATATCTACTCAGTTGTTTGCTTTGTGTATTAATTAACAGGATTTACAAAATGGGTGGGGGTAGGGGGTGGGTGGGGTGGATGAGGGGGGTGGTAGTGCTATTTTTCCTAAAAGTTCCAATTAACATTTCCTATTTAAAAAAAAAAATTTTTTTTAGAATTTTCAACTTTTCTTCATATATCTGAAATATTCTTAAGCTCGAGTGTTAAAGGCTGTTAGATGATACATTTTGTAGTAGTAATGTCATATAAGTGGCATGGTTGCAAATCCCTCAAAGTAAAACAACTACCATGAACTATAAATCACTTCTGTGAGACACACATGCATGCACATTTTTTCGAGTTAATTTATGAGGAAGATTAAAGTATCTCTTGAATGACGACCTATACAGGCACTATCATAAATGAAAATTTAATAGCGCTTGGTTGTTCCCTGGAGTAAATTCAAATTTAAATTCTCACCAATGTTACATATAAGGAACAATCTGAAAAAATTATTCAATTAATTTAAAGTAAATAGAGACCAAGGCAATAAAGCTTTGAGTTAGTATAATACAGTATCTTATTATCATAAATTTCTACCGTGAGTTAGTATAATACAGTATCTTATTATCATAAATTTCTACCGTGAGTTAGTATAATGTCTTTGGTTATCATCTGTAGTTTGGGGCTATGATATGAATCAGTCTGCTAAAGGAAATCAGGTCTATTAACATCTTTTATGAAGGTAAAATGGGCTTAGTTAAAAGTTTGGTTACATTCTTAACACTTCTTAACAATGTATGCATTCATAAGACTCCAGCAACTTGAAATTATTAGAAAATTAAAAAGATAAAGGTCTGAAGAGTGCTTATAAAAGCTCTTATAAAAAAAATCCCAGGTATAATATGTAAAGTAGTTTACAAACTTGATGTTTTGTGCAGGTAGGAGAAGTGTCAAAATATTGTACTTTATCAGAATAGTTTATGTAAGTATTATGAACAACAGAAACATATGCATGCATAGATTCATGTTATTTGTTACAAACGTTTCAACAAATTGTAATGATTTTGACCAGTGTCACCCTGGTAAAATAATGACCTGTTACATAGGGTGACATTCTCCCCCTATGTAACAGTTTCTTATTTTACCACGGTTACATTCTCCCCCTATGTAACTGGTCATTATTTTACCAGGTTGACATACTCCCCCTGCGTAACAGGTCCTTATTTTACCAGGGTTACATACTCCCCCTATGTACCAGGTCATTATTTTACCCTGGTAAAATAATAACCTGTTACATAGGGTGACATTCTCCCCCTATGTAACAGGACATTATTTTACCAGGGGGACATTCTCCCCCTATGTAACTGGTCATTATTTTACCCTGGTAAAATAATGACCTGTTACATAGGGGGAGAATGTCACCCTGGTAAAATACTAGCCACTTCCTACAGACTCGTCTAGGGAGAATTTCTCTTTAGCTCATTCGGTAGAGCATAAGATTAGTAAACTAGAGGTCCCAGGTTCAACTCCTAGCGGAGGCCTTGAAAAAATAATCGTCTAGGGAGAATTTCTCTTTAGCTCATTTGGTAGAGCATAAGATTAGTAAACTAGAGGTCCCGGGTTTGACTCCTAGCAGAGGCATTGAAAACAATTATGACCTCTGTTACACCAATATGAACAGACTTTTCATGGGGATTTAACTAAGATTTCACCTCTTTTTTTTTGTGGTAGGGTCGAAGCTTTTGACAGCAGGGGACACCATGCAGATCTGGCTGTATACCCAGGACAGCAGTCCGGGACGTCACCCTGTCCAGTTCTCTATGGGAGATGAGGATACTCAGGACTTTGGCTCCACCGGTCAGACAAACCCCCCTGACAACACCCATGTAAATCCAGAGATCCAGGAGGAGAGCACATGGGACTGTATCTGGAGTCAGAGGTATGAAGCTATACAGACGCACGCTCTTAACCCTTTCATCACTGTAGAACCCTGATGAACTTATCCAGATAAATGCATGGTAGAGTTTATTAAAGTTACATAGGGGTAAAAGGGTTAATGGGAAACAATGATTTCAAGGTCACAGGGGTAACAACTAAGAGGTGTAGTGTCATGACATTTGACTGGTAGCTTAATGGTATGGAGTGTGTGATCTGATTGGATGACCAAAACCAACTGTGAAGGTCACTTAAGTGAAATAAATTAAAATCTTCCAATTATGGTAATATTTATAAGGTGGACAGAGATGAAATTTCCAGACAAAGATCCCTAATGTGTTAAGTAATGATATTTAGCATATTAAATTAATTTGACCTCAATCCTCTTTGAAAGTTGGATGCAATGACCAACAAACAGGTGACCAATACAGGACCATTGGGCCTCTTTTTACAGTTTCAGTATTTGTTATCCCCTGGCAAAAAAAGGGGGGGGGGGGGGGGGATATAGTGTTGCCCATGTCTATCGCATCCCGTCTTGTCGCGTCCCGATTCAATGTTAACACCCTTCCTGTCCCGTCCCATCCCGTCCTGTCCCAATTCAATGTAAACACTTAGCAACTTCATTCAATATGTTACGGAGATGGTAATAACATACAGAAAAAACATATGAATATTAAAATCAACTTATCAATTTTAAGTGTAGTACCCTGTGTGTGTGCATGTTCCAGGGTATTAAGATCAAAGTGGTTGTAACTTTTTATAGAACACTGAAACTAATTTCCTATGGCAGTGGGGGCATTTATGTCTTACAGACATTTTCTAGTTTAAATAGTTTTAAAATATGCTACTTAAACAAAGGTGTTTAAAAATGTTTTTTTTTTAACAGGCCAGCAACCCCAATCTATCACATCAAGTTTTCACCAGACGGACTGTTGTTTGCTTCCGCAGGAAAAGTAAAGTTTTTTTCACTCAAAAACTATTATGCACAATTCTTTGTTGTTCTGGTGTATCACACTTAAGGTAATAGGAATGTGTCGCCATTTTCTCAGTAGAACTTATTCAAATTTTGTAGTTATATTGCTTTGAAATAAAGAAAATTTTCTGCCACAAAAAATAATATCGGTTGTCAGAATTTTAAGGATTTTAAATGGAAATTTATGTAAAAAGGATTCAATTTTGAAAAAAAAATTGAAACTTGCAAAATAATTTCAATAAAAATGATACTAACATAGATTAGTATTGCATTAATGTATATCAATTTCATAAATGCTGAAATTGTGTAAAATTTATCATCTATAAACGATTAAAAATTGACATTTTATAATAAAACCATATACAGATAGTAATTGCATGCAAGAGTTATCGTTCTTGAAAAACTTCACAGTAGTGAAAGAGGTAGCCGGTTTCCTGAAGTACCGAAAAATGGACACATGGACTAATGCCTGGATTGCTTTGCAATACTTTAATATTGAAAGAACACACTGTTCTGTCAATAATAAGCATACGATATTATCATTTTCAAGTAGGGATGTACTTCCTATTTCCGTTTAGCAATACACTCCTATGACCTTAAGGACTAATACAATATTGAGACCAGTGTTCTGATTAAAGAAACTCAGTCAAGTGTTGAGTTTACATTGATAATGGAAACATACCCAATGATTTACTTGTATTGACTCCAGATCAATTACGTTTGCAGCTTCAATAGATTAAGAACATAATCACATTCTATTTGAATTTTTCTCTATAGAAGAAAGATTAAGCGCACAATTTAACATCTTGTTTTGTATTATTAATTTTTGTTTTATATATTTCAGGCTGATCGTCTTGTGAAAATTTGGCATGAGGACAGAAAATGTAAGATTTGTAACTACATAGAACAGAACAGTTGTACATGTGTCTGCATCACAAAAGAACCCTTAATGAAGTTAGAAAACATCTGTTAATGTCTATTCACGTACAAACAAAGTTATGACTGTCTGGGTATTTTTTTTATTGTGTAAGATAAATTTATTTGATAATCAGTGAAATGATGATGTCATTTTGAAAACTATATGATAAAGAGTTACAGTGCCTTTGATTTTTAAAGTTTGAAGAAGAGTTGTGACCCTTTGACCATTGACATTTCACAGTACAATTGCCTCTGATGCGCGCTGACAGCATCGTTAGTCCCAAGAAGGAAGTTCACCACTATTCCTTTGTCTACATCGCTCATCCCCGCGCTGTGACGGGCTTCTCCTGGAGGAAAACAAGCAAATACATGCCAAGGTATGGTAATGTGCTGTTAAGATTACTTGGCAACATAAGGAAAATAAATAACTATTAAAATTAAATTGCATCAATATATGGGGAGATACATGTTCATTCGTTAAGAAAATGAAAATTAAACACATTTACAACTAAACTGGTGTATGCATATCTTGACACTTTGGAGTGTGTGTGCATTAATTAAGAAAATGTCTTGTCTATTTTCCATGAGACCTTTTGTTTAAAAATTCATATTGCTTTTGTTTCAATTTTTTTTTCACAATTCATGCAAGTAGAAAACGCAAAGTACAAGTTAGCTTTGGATACTATTAACAGTTACAGACCGTTTAATTTTGTTCTGTAGAACATGTGGTCTGTCATGAAGGTTCAAATACTTCATTTGAAGAAAAAGCCATGATAAGGTGTTGTTGACATGAACATATTGCGTGTTCTGTTTACAGGGGTTCCGTTGCATACATGCTTGTAACGTCCTGTGCAGACAATATCTGTACATATTGCGTGTTTTGTTTACAGGGGTTCCGTTGCCAACATGCTTGTAACGTCCTGTGCAGACAATGTGTGTCGGTTATGGTGCGAAACCATCCTACCTGATGATGGACTCGTTGACCTTGAGACTTTTGACCCTGCCACGACCTCTGATAGAAAGTTTCATACTCACCGACATAAAAAACGGTTCATGCAGCGTCTTAAGACTATCAGGTAAGTAGATCATTATCCCAAATATTTTAAAAATCCTCTTTTATTTTTTTATTTAAGACAATTTAAGATGATTATATTAACAAGAAGAACTGCTGTTGAAAACCCTTTCTTTTTTTGTATTGGGATAAAAACTCATTAGATATTAGAATTAGCTGTCAGTTTTCCCTGAAAATCAATATTAAGATATCTCTCAGGCTGGACACTCGTAAAGTTGTAGGGCAAAGATTCAACATTGTATAAAAGGAGGTGTACATCTTTGCTTGAATAAATATTGCCATAATTGTAATATGACATAACTTATTCCTAATGGAAAATATTTCTTTACTAACAGTCAAACTATATTTCCTATTGAAATCTGACTCTGCTGTAGCTGTCTTTGTGTTAGCAGTGATGTAGCTGTTAGCATTACTGTAGTTTTATTTCAGCATAGTCCTGTGATAATGGCATAATTCCTAATATTCTAAATGTCACATAACTTGAAACACGTAGAAAAAAAGTCTGCTTAATAACCATCATGTTTTTATTACTAATTATTACTTGTGATGTGTTGCTTTGTTCCATATTTGAAATAAACAACACTCAAGCTTTCCACTAACTATTATTTATACACAACATATAAGATAAAGCGGAAATAATTCTAGAACTGGTTTATTAAAATTTAGATTCTTGAGTATAATAAATCTATACTTTGGCTCTTCTTTGGGGCTACTCACCATTTAATCTTTACATAATAGAAACTAGAAACATAATGAAACATAATGCAATATCACCTGCATGTATCTTATAAATTGCACCATTTTCAAAAAACCAATCTTATTCCGAATTATCCAATAATAGTGTGATCTTAATAAAAGCGAAGAATAATTATTATCTGAATGGGGAAAAGAATTCCCTTTAATTCTGATGGCCAAATGAATGAATAACTGTCAGCAATGTGACATGTACAACACACCTGAACATTCCTTCATTTCCAGGGATGTTTCCCAATATCATGGTATACATTCCTAGATAACCCTAACCCTAACAAATCTGTAACATCATCCCTTTTAATGATATCAAATTTTTACTTTTTACACAAACAATATACATATTAAACGTGTCGCAAGGTTCCAAAACCGACTGCTCCCTTTGTCAAGCTATGACTGAGTGAGAGATTTGTATTATTTACCTGTACAACGATGTGATGAAATTGAATATTTTACATGTCACTCGACCCGGGAAGTTTCGCCTATCGATAGGGAGCGTATACACACTGCATCAGATAGGTTACAGGTAGGGTGTAGATCTAGCCCCCTCCCCTGTTATGTCAGTATCGGGTCAATCGCTCACTCAGTCACTGGAGGTGCAGAGTCTCCAATATGAAAACTGAGCTTCAGAGATATAAGGATGAAAATGAATATATCTTTCAATTTTGTTTCCCACTTTTTTCCAAATTATGTATGTTTTGTCAAAATATCTAGAAAAAGTATAATTATCAATATTTGATTAAGGGTACATTGAACGGAACTATGGCACTCATGGAATCAGGTTTCCTATTTGGTGTCGTAATGTAGAACGGCACTTTTAAATATCTGTGCTGCTTACGTACTTAATATGTCTAGTATGGTAATCACTGTGAATCGCTGAAGTTTTATGAACTCTTATTTTCATGATGATGAAAGACTTCTTTGCAAGATTTTTAAGTTTATTCGTAAATTTACGAAAATTCTCCTGCACAAAGATATATGCATTTATTTATTTATGAAAGTGATTTATGGTAAATTTAGTATGTAATTCACATATAAACGAGAATTATATTGTGTTCTGTTTATCTGGGTCGTTGATAACAGTATGATAGAACAGGAATTCGCCACCAATAGGCAAGTGTATTTTGTAACCCTTAATTCACCTTGGTTATGGTAATTTAACATTTCTCATTAAACAATATGTATATCATCAGTAACATATAGTATGGTTATGGTAATTTAACATTTCTCATTAAACAATATGTATATCATCGGTTACATATAGTATGGTTATGGGATGGACGTTTTTATTCAGCAATTTGTTTCCTCTGCATAACGTTCGCATTCAATTTTTTTTGAAATAAGAATTCTTTGTACATGAATGTGTTTATGTGGTGATTGTTTTCTTCATGAATGCATCCAATGAAATAAAGTTTCAGCAATAGCCATTTAAACAATTTAGGGGCTTATACAAATTGACATTGAATCTGTTCATTTGAAATTGATATTTGTTCTTTTTTTTCTCACTACAAGACTTCACACGCACTTCTTTGAAAGGTATGCTGTCACCTGTTCTATTTATTTTGTATTACAAACTGTTTTGACATTGTTCAGTGTATTATATATGGTAGATAAAGGTGTACATTACTGTATTAGTGATATTAGTGTAACTGTACTTACCTAACAGTACCAAAAAAAGAAACAAAAACTGCTCCTATAAGTATTAAATTTTTGTTGTAGTTTCATGGTACAAAAGCCCGTTCATATCATATTTAGTTTTGCTCAATTTAGTCGTTGAATGAGGAGAAATGTCTTGAGAATTTTAATGTTCATTAAAGTGACATTCTGATTTAGGGTTTCATGATTCGATACATGACATAATTCAGAATGGATCATTTACCCAGTCACATAATTTTATTTTCTTATAAAAAAAATCATAAAGTTTGTATCCGCAACAAATGATAAAAAATAATTGTATCTCCAACTGACGTGTTTTGTGTATCTCCAACTGACGTGTTTTGTGTATCTCCAACTGACGAGTTTTGTGTTGGAAAAAGTTGTCCAGTTAAGATTATTTTTGAGATGAATCAATCACAAAGTATGTAAGTGTTCTCCCAGAGAAGCTGTGGTGTGTCAGTATCGCTTCCAGGAAGAAAAAAACCCATATTAAATAGAAATGGTCAAATTTCATTTCCAAACAAATTTGTGAAATTTACTTTATTAATACCTGATGAACACAACATCAGAAGTAAGATAAAGAGAAGTAGATTTGTGAAAATTATCGATATTGGAAACATTTATATTTGCGTGGACCTTTTACAGAAATTCATTTTTTCTGGATGCTTGTGTATAAAAACTGTCAAACTTCGCAAAGTTAAAAAAAAAAAGCTTTAGCTTGATTTCTATACATATATTCAGTGAAAACCTGCTGTGTAGAAATTTTTACAATATTGGAATTTTGCCCCTGATTTAGCCCATGCTGTTTGTAAGTCAGCAGTGTGTTGCCAGGCACATTGACCTGTTATAGTGTTATAGATTGTTACGTGGCTACATACATCCCCTAGTTACCTCCAGGATCTTACATATGATATACAGTACTTAGTGTTGTACATGAAGTCTGTCCATCTGACTGTGGTTTCTAGAGTTTATGAAGGAGCAGCAGGGATGTTGTTCTCATTGTGTCTGTCAGCATCTGAATGAATTTCAAATTATAACTGTCCAAAATATGAACAGATTTTGACCAGATTTGGTCATTAGATCTAGTTGTATAATAATGATATGTGAGATCTAAAGTTAGACATATCCTGACTACATGTTATAGGATTACGTATACTGCTTCAGGATTAGATATCAGCTTTAGATCATTACTCCCCTAATATTAAAGAAGACAGGATTGTCAATCAGAATAAATCCATCTGCTGTTTGTATTGACAAACTTGTAGCAGTCATAATTTGCTGCAGTGAAGGAAGGGTTAGGTTTATAGGATTAGCATATACTTACTGTACAGTTTGTAAATGATGCTTTTAGTCAAATCTGTGTGGAAACTGTTTTGCCATATATACACATGTATACAGACTGAGCTTCTAGATGATTGAGTGGCAAAGCTTGTCTACGGTTGAGTGGCTGAGTGGCAAAGCTCAATGGTTGAGTGGCTGAGTGGCAAAGCTCAATGGTTTAGTGGCAAAGCTCAATGGTTAAGTGGCAAAGCTCAATGGTTGAGTGGCTGAGTGGCAAAGCTCAATGGTTTAGTGGCAAAGCTCAGTGGTCAAGTGGTAAATCTTCTTGGTGGCTGATTTGTTTGGTGGTAAATCTTCTTTATGACTGATTGGCTGAGTAGCAAAGCTTCTCTGTGGTTAAATGTTAAGCAGCGGATCATCTTTATGGTTGAATGGTTTATTGGCAAAGATTCTATGGTTAAGTAGCAAAGCTTCTCTTTGGTTGATTGGCTAAGTGACAAAGCTGCTATATGGTTTTTTGGTTGATTGGTTGATTGGTTGAGTGGCAAAATATTCTCCATTGGTGAGTGGCAGTGCTTTGCTATGGTTGATTGGTGAGTGGCAGTGCTTTGCTATGGTTGATTGGTTGAGTGACAGTGCTTTGCTATGGTCGGTAGGTTGAGTGGCAGTGCTTTGCTATGGTCTGTAGGTTGAGTGGCAATGCTTTGCTATGGTCGGTAGGTTGAGTGGCAGTGCTTTTCTATGATCGGTAGGTTGAGTAGCAAAGTTTCTCTCTAAGGTTGAATGACATAGCTTGTTTATGGTTGAGTGGTTTTATGGCAAAGTTTCTCTATGGTTGATTTCTAGAGTAGCAAAGCTTGTCTATGGTTTATCAGCCAAGCTTCTCATAAAACGACTTAGCATCTTCAGAACTGAATGGATGTTTGAGGGATTACGTTTCTCTGTGGATTTTGTTTAGTATTTAACTTCTCTATGGTCATTTAATTTAGCATCATTATAATTTAGTGATTAAAAGCATTGTAAAGTGACTGAAGTTTTCTTTGTGTGATTTCAAGTTCCTGTTATTTGCAATGGTTAAGTATTTAAGCCTCCCATGGGATGTGACCAGGCTTCGCAAAGTTTTACTATAGTCAAGTTATATAGTCTATCCGTGGTTTAGTAAACAAACGTTTCTACGCTTGAGTGACTTTGAGGCTTAGCCTTTCCATGGTTGAAGTGTATCCTTGATTGACTGGCATAGTGTGTCATTGGCTTATGGCTTGTCATCTAAATATGGTTTGTAGCGGGTACATTTCTTGATAATTTTTTTGTGCTATATTTGATTGAAGAAATGAAACCACTAGAAAACAAAACAGAAACACGATAACATGTCTATGGCTAGCAGTTTGTGAATCGTGTTTCTGTTTGTCAAATTAAAAAACTTACCAGTATCAGTGGCCATATGGCTTAATAACTTTAATTGTATAAGGTACCTGAATAAACTGTGATTGAACAGTGAACTTTATGTATATAAATTCATGTACTGTAACATGGAAATGTGTACTCAGCAATGTGAAATGTGTACTTAATGTTAATTGATTAGTGTGTTTTACTGTTAATTAATAATTTACATTTTAACAATTAAATAGTATTCTTCACTGTAATTAAATGGTGAATTTTATGATAAACATTCTACTGTACTATCAGTAGTGTACTTCACTAATACTATCGTTGATAGTGTAGTATACTTAATGTGTGTATTTTTCTAAGCTTCTGTCCCTCTTTTCTCCAATTTTCTCTCTTTCCTGTGTGTCACTGTTGTGTTCTGTCTGTATCTTGTTAGCAATCCAGACACAACCCAAAATTCTCAGTCAGACTCCCCGGACAACGACCTTGACGAGACGAGCCCTGAGGAAGAAAGGTCATACCTTATATCAGCACTTTTCACCGCAGTTTTCAGTTCAAACTGATCGCATAATAATGGCATGCCGTGTTGGGGGTGGGGCTTATCTGGGGGCAGCGTTGGGAGGAGGTTTGGGGAGGAGAAAGGGGAGGTGGTGAGGATATATTTTTGGGTTATGGAGAATCTTGCATCAAATTTCATCACATTATTATCATGTTTAATGCTTTAATATTCAATGAACATTACATCGGTGGCATACAACTGTTGGAGCATGGGATAGGTTTCATGGATATAGGCTCAGGGCTATGCTTATGAAATGTAAAATGGAAAATTTCAATTAAGATTTAAAAATAAAATGGTGACATGGTAAACAAATTGTAAATTTCTGCTCATTGATGAGTTCTCCATGTAAATCCTAGCATACTGATATATGATGATGTCACCTGTGTGGATAATAAATGGACAACATATTGTAATTTTCCCATTTTACAAAATGTAGATTATGTTTGGTAAATGATGGTGGAAGATCATTTTACCCAGCTGTGGTATTGTAGATAAATTCAATGGGTTCGTGGAAGCTTGCTTTGGATTGGTGATAACTGTGTAAAATATGCAAACGTCATCATGTGTTGATCATAAAACACTGTTAAAAAGAAATCTTTATCAGCCAGTATATTCAGAATAAATTAGTTTTAATTTATGCTGACCTGTTTCGTATTTTATCAATCTCTGGCTCAATAAGAGAAAAAATAGCAGTTGTGTTGTGGAACTGTGCCTTACTTTATATGCTGGTTTAAAATTACTTAAGCTTGTAATTTTTATTTACAAAATACTTATTAAATATACCTAGTAATTTATAAATATTTATTTTGGTTACCTTTCTGCCTCCTCGGTCTTCTTCCAACGTTATCCCCATTCCCCTCCACACAGATCTGTGTAATGAACATTAAATTTGATAGAAAAAGAACTTATAAGGTCATTTAATTGCTTAGTTTATCTACTGTTACTTTATTTTGGGAAGTTCCCAGTGTCAAATATGGGAGTTCTTAAGCTTGATATGAAAGTATTGATTTTTATGACCTCAAAGATTTTTTGATAAAAGCTTTTTAAGATCTGTTTTATGTTACATTGAAATAATTGTAAAAAAACATTATAAATATATTTTTTGTCAATCTCGCTTGGGTCATTGTCAAAAATCAGTGGGATTTTGTTATTTTAATGACAATTTTGAAGGAAATGAATTCAGAAAAAAATATTTCTGAACCAAGCTATGTATATACAACCAGTAAGAAAAGGTTTTGTAACAAGATTCCATCAGTTTCTGACAATTTTATTTGGCATGTTGCCCTTCAGTTGCATGTTAAGTGCTTATTTGCATTTTCTTGTCTTTCTTTCTATAAAGCTATCACTTGCTTTGTATTACAGATAACTGCAAGAAGTTCTATTTATTTCTCGTTATATGATTTGTCTCTTGTACACTTTTACAAATATGTATGTTTGGATTGAGAAAGATTTCAGGAACAGTTCACAACAAAAATTCAATCTGTAATGAAAATACCTCCCCGGTACAACATGATATAGAACATCAATATTTCGGGTCTCTTTCAATTGATCTTAAATCTTTCTAAATCTGATTTGTTTCTTGTTTAGTATTGTACCTATAATAATTATTGCTTAGTGACAAAGGAATCTATACAAAAAGTAACATAATAGTAGAAAGTTTCAGCCTCAATTTTTATTACTTAATATATATGTCTCATTTACTAATCTGATCAGAGAGTAGAATTTCTGGACTAACACATGATTTGTGCGATTGAAAACTTTCCTCAACAGCCAACTCAGCTTTGTGGAGATGTAACTATGTTTAGTACAGTTTCTCCAATGTTTAGAGAGGGACCGTGTTCTGTTCAGTAAAGATGCATTCTGACTCTGAGTTCTGTGTATTACAGACATGCCATTCACAAGCGGAGAAAACATCACAAGTTAGGACCAGATACACTGATGAGTATGGCCAACCTGTCGAGTATTAACAGCGCTGCCAGTATACACGATTTCCACAAGTTTGCTCTCCACAACAATGGCGTTGCACCACCACTACACTTCCATTTAGCCGCCAGCATCAATCCCGAAACAGGTATGCAGCATTTATATTGGTATCTTAGCAACAATATATTTTGACTAAATATTGACCTTTGACCCAGGTTCTAACAACCAGTAAATAGATTAGGTCTTCTTGACCTTGGTGACACTGGTGTTGGACCTATCAAATAGTTCCAATGTCTGTCTTCATGAAAAGTGATAAACTCTTTTCTTGCGTTGAACCTAATCTTTAGGTAAGAGGAAATCACAGGAGATAGAATTGTTTTGATTGAGGTTTGTGTTGCAGGCTCTCGTCTATGGAATAAAGATATTAAAGAAAACCTACGACTTCATCTCATTTGTGGTTGAGAGAGGGGTACATATATAAATGGCTGTTATCTTGATTTTGTCAAATCACTTTGTTTGTTGCATCGGTTCATATCAGTTTATCATCCTAAAACTAAAATAGACCATAAACTATTGTATTACCATATTTATTTGGAAATGATTTTACCTTGGTGTAAGTTTAAAATAATGGTTTAATTGACCTTTTTCTCTGTTTCAATATGAATGAATAAATAACCTTGACTTTGTTCTTAACCCTTTCACCCCTATGTAACTTTAGTAGACTCTACCATGCATTGATATGGATGAGTCCATTATGGTCTACAGTGATGAAAGGGTTTAAAGGGCCTGGCTTGATCTTGTTTGATTTGCAGACATCCCCCTCCTGCCAGTAGTGGGTACAAAGGGTGAAACCAAACACAACTTTCAGCTTCACTGGCTCAATAACAAGGAGCTACAGTTTACCATGGAGGCCGAGGTGATCCTTCAGGATCTGCACAAGTCTAGTCTTACCCATCACCACCACCATCATCACGAACACGACATCGGGTCCGACAGCGATGGCTTCCCTGAACACCAATCACATACAACACACAATGGAGAGGAGCACGAATCAGAAGGTGGGTATTACAGTTTCTGGGAAGGAGGAAGTAGAGGAGAACATTAGGGTAGACAACCAAAAAGAAAAAGCAGGTGATAATGTGGGGAGAGGTGAAAGGATAAGAGAAAGGGAATGAGAATATGAGGTGTTGGGATGGTGTATTGGTAGTGGAAAGGGAATGAGAATATGAGGTGATGTGATGGTGATTTGGTAGTGGAAAGGGGATGAGAATGTAAGGTGATGGGATGGTGATTTGGTAGTGGAAAGGGGATGAGAATATGAGATGATGGGATGGTATATTGGTAGGAGAATATGAGATGATGGGATGGTGTGTTGGTAGTGGAAAGGGGATGAGAATATGAGGTGTTGGGATAGTGATTTGGTAGTGGAAAGGGTATGAGGATATGAGATGATGGGATGGTGATTTGGTAGTGGAAAGGGTATGAGGATATGAGATGATAGGATGGTGTATTGGTAGTGGAAAGGGGATGAAAATATGAGGTGATGGGATGGTGATTTGGTAGTGGAAAGGGTATGAGGATATGAGATGATGGGATGGTGATTTGGTAGTGGAAAGGGAATGAGAATATGAGATGATGGGATAGTGTATTGGTAGTGGAAAGGGAATGAGAATGTGAGGTGATGGGATGGTGTATTGGTAGTGAAAAGGGGATGAGAATATGAGGTGGTGGGATGGTGTATTGGAAGTGGAAAGGGAATGAGAATATGAGGTGATGAGATGGTGTGTTGGTAGTGGAAAGGGAATGAGAATATGGGATGATGGGATGGTGATTTGGTAGTGGAAAGGGTATGAGGATATGAGATGATAGGATGGTGTATTGGTAGTGGAAAGGGAATGAGGATATGAGATGATGGGATGGTGTATTGGTAGTGGAAAGGGAATGAGGATATGAGATGATGGGATGGTGATTTGGTAGTGGAAAGGGGATGAGGATATGAGATGATGGGATGGTGATTTGGTAGTGGAAAGGGGATGAGGATATGAGATGATGGGATGGTGTATTGGTAGTGGAATGGGAATGAGAATATGAGGTGATGGGCTGGTGTATTGGTAGTGGAAAGGGGATGAGAATGTAAGGTGATGGGATGGTGATTTGGTAGAGGAAAGGGAATGAGAATATGAGGTGATGAGATGGTGTGTTGGTAGTGGAAAGGGGATGAGAATATGAGATGATGGGATGGTATATTGGTAGGAGAATATGAGATGATGGGATGGTGTGTTGGTAGTGGAAAGGGAATGAGAATATGGGATGATGGGATGGTGATTTGGTAGTGGAAAGGGGTTGAGGATATGAGATGATGGGATGGTGTATTGGTAGTGGAATGGGAATGAGAATATGAGGTGATGGGATGGTGATTTTGTAGTGGAAAGGGAATGAGGATATGAGATGATGGGATGGTGATTTGGTAGTGGAAAGGGGATGAGAATATGAGGTGATGGGATAGTGATTTGGTAGTGGAAAGGGTATGAGGATATGAGATGATGGGATGGTGATTTGGTAGTGGAAAGGGGTTGAGGATATGAGATGATGGGATGGTGATTTGGTAGTGGAAAGGGGTTGAGGATATGAGATGATGGGATGGTGTATTGGTAGTGGAAAGGGGATGAGAATATGAGGTGATGGGATAGTGATTTGGTAGTGGAAAGGGTATGAGGATATGAGATGATGGGATGGTGATTTGGTAGTGGAAAGGGGATGAGGATATGAGATGATGGGATGGTGTATTGGTAGTGGAAAGGGAATGAGAATATGAGATGATGGGATGCGAGAGATGGATAAGACATAGAACAGGATATGGGAGGGGAGGGTTAGAGGATAGTTTAAGAGGAGAAATGAAACATTATTAGAGGTTTAGATGAGGGACAACAATGACAAAAGAGAGTAGAGTAGGGGAAGGGCTATGGGCAGAGGGATCAAGCTGAGATAGATGGGAAGATCAGAAAAGAAGAGAAAGAAAAGAGCTGTGTAGGACAAAGGAATGGTTAGCAGGTGGCAGGTGGAGATGAAAAGATGAAAGAAGATAAGGGGAGGGAAAGAATAAGTGGATTGAAGGGAATGAAAGTACTGAAGGAAACCAATTGAAAGGAAAAAGTAGGTGTCAAACAAGGGTATAGGGGAGAAAAAGTAGGTGTCAAACAAGGGTATAGGGGAGAAAAAGATTAGAAAAATAAAAAAGTGAACTAGGGGGGAAAACAGACTAAGAAGAGAATAAAATATAAGGGTAAAAGAGAAGGAGAGAGGGGGAACAGACTATCATTATAAAACATCATCTATAAAATCTTCCTTATTGGTAGGTCATCCAAAAAAGAAGAAGTCAAGTCTATTCAAGAAGAAGCACAAGGGTCATCGGAGTCCAAAAGAAAACCAGGAACTTGGGAGTCAGTCCAGCATCGCCTCTGATCAGGGGGACCATGTATCGGAGGGCAATTCCAGTGGGGGCATGTCACCCGAAGTTCCTGTACGTTACTGAAAAATGTTACTTAAGATATATTCATTAAGTTTGTATTGATAAAAAGATGGAATAAAGCATTTTCAACATGAACATATAAGTATTGAATAGGAAAATCTCAGTCTTTGTTTTGAAATTGAGGTATAAATAATTGTTTGGAAACCTGTGTGTCTTTATATATATTTATGCACACAGGAAATGTTTTATTTTCTTAATGATAAAATATTCATTGCATTATTTTTATTTTTTTTAAATACCAAGGTAAGACTTTTATATACAAAGGACCATGGTCGTAAGTCTGCCTGTAAGACTTTTTATCTACATTACTTTCTTTGACAGGGTTCAATGATTGATGCTTTGGACAGAAAGATAGAAGCCCTGCTCAAAGACTGGCATCAGAGTGCAGATATGTTGTTCAGTATACACCCAGTGGACGGTAGCTTCCTGGTGTGGTTAGTAGTAACATTGACTTGTAATGAGGACATGATCCAGTTTTATTTACCTAATAAATTATGCAACTATGCTTTATATATATATATCAGTTTAATATATATGTTACTTAAGCATTTTATGTCACAATTTTGCATGGAGCTTCGTTAAAATAATGGGATAAGCATAATCATTATTGGTCTTAAATTTTACATTAAAAAGGTTAAAACCACATTCAAAATCAAATTCACACAGACTCACATTCACCCAAAAGCAACTTCCTGTATTTGTAATACATGACGTATATGATTTTATAAAAGAGTAATAGGTTACCTGGTACCTTTTAAATGATACCTTTTACATCACATGACTCTTTGTTACAGGCTTGTTGATTGGATGGATGAGTATAACCCATACTGTTTCCGTCAGGCCCAGGTCAGCTTTTCGTCACGCCTTCCAAATGCATTCCCGGTGCCAGACGCTCGGACGATGGCAAGCAACATGCTTATGTATTGTAACTACAGTAAAATGGACATAAAATCAGCCATGCGCATCAGTGAAAACCGGTTTTCTCCTAGTAACCCTACAGCGCCCACAAAAATACAGACGCAACCAGCTCCTGCCACTGGTAAATGCTTCCCTGGACAGAACGATAACATGCTTATTCCTAATGTTTTACTTATCTCCAAACACTTCAACGGTTCCTTAAATCAGTGGCAGATTAGTTTTGCGGACAGTTCTAAATTTTCAACAGTGGTCAGTGTTGCCCATGCCTCTAGAGCATGCGGACATCGATTTAGGACGAATTCTGCTGCATGTCACCCGGTGTTACCCTTGTTACTGACAACCTCTCATCACAACGTCCCAAAACCTTTGACGCCATGCAATGAGGATAACCATAGAAACGGCATCCAAGGTGACAACCACGAGGAAGAACATGGAGGATTACAAGGTCAGGAAAGCCTTGTAGGGGGTGTGGAGTTCTGTAGCGAGCTGATTCTGTGGAGGGTAGATCCCGTGGGTCCACTATCTAAGTCGGGTGGTATCATAGAGTTGGCTCGTATCAACTCACCTCAGCTGTCCGCCTTCGACAACGTTGCCTGGGTGCCTACACTACTTCCAAGGTATGAAACCCTCCCTGTGAAATATTTATGTAACTAGCATATCTAAAAATAACACGTGGAAAAAGATAGATTTCTATCACTAAAAAACGTAAAATCTTTATATTGTTAAATCTTGATAAGGGTACCATTCCAATGTATCTGTAAAGAGAACAAAAGATTTATTCCTAAAATTCCTTTTGTGGAATATAGCAGAACTTTGTAACCCAGACTAACACTGATCCAGTGTCTTTATAATTGTACAGGTTCAATAAACCTGAATAAAATGTAGTTTGAACTTTAAACACTAATCCAGTCATCTTTCAAAACCATTTTATGGAACTACTCACTAGATGAACGGTCCTGTTTTGTGATGTCCGACACCAGGTGATGCACACCAGTGAGACTGACATTCATCATTGTCCTTTCTGTTTTAGTTCTACCCTAGGATCCTACAGTAACTCTCCAAGTGCCCTGTTTGTGGCCTCGGATGGGAACAGTTTGAAGATGTACCAGGCGGTTATTGACGCCCGCACTCTACTTCTGGAGATGGGAGGTCAGAGAAAAGATGTAAGAGCCAGTTATATGATATGTTGTTATTGATATCTGATACTAACTAAGATCATGCAAAGCTGTATTTTTCTGTATTTTCTTTAAATTATGTTTATATGAATATATGAAAAATTAAATATCTGACTTTCTGCTACAGAAGGGGATGAGTTTTTCTAGTAATACCAGCTCTGGATATAGTCAAGAGACACCCCACACTGCTAGTGAGCTGTTCAACATTGTCAGTCTGCAGTCTTCCGCCCGCCCTGGCTGTATCATAGAAATGGAAGCCATTGCTGATGCCAAACAGGTAACCATACACGTTCTTACTGAACCAGATACTGATCAGGTGTTATTGTTACCGCTCTTTTCCCCTCAGATGGGTTTCAGTAGCAGAAAAACTGATGTTGGTACTTCCCTATTCTGCTCTCTTTATTTGAAAGTAGAATGCAAAACATCACTTGCCCCTCCACCCATTGTGTTGTATATACTTTATACAGGGACTCCACCGTATGTGTTGTATATACTTTATAGAGTGACTGGACCCATTGTGTTGTATATACTTTACACAGGGACTCCACCCATTGTGTTGTCTATACTGTATACATGGACTCCACCCATTGTGTTGTATCTACTTTATAGAGGGACTCCACCCATTGTGTTTTATATACTTTATAGAGGAACTCCACCCATTGTGTTGTATATTCTTTATACAGGGACTCCACCCATTGTGTTGTATATACTTTATACAGGGAGTCTACCCAATGTGTTGTATATACTTTATAGAGGGACTGGACCCATTGTGTTGTATATACTTTATACAGGGAGTCTACCCAATGTGTTGTATATACTTTATAGAGGGCCTGGACCCATTGTGTTGTATATACTTTATAGAGGGACTCCACCCATTGTGTTGTATATACTTTATAAAGGGAGTCTACCCAATGTGTTGTTTATACTTTATACAGGGACTCCACCCATTGTGATGTATATACTTTATAGAGGGACTCCACCCATTGTGTTTTATATACTTTATAGAGGAACTCCACCCATTGTGTTGTATATACTGTATACATGGACTCCACCCATTGTGTTGTATATACTTTATAGAGGGACTGGACCCATTGTGTTGTATATACTTTATACAGGGACTCCACCCATTGTGTTGTATATACTGTATACAGGGACTCCACCCATTGTGTTGTATATACTTTATAGTGGGACTGGACCCATTGTGTTGTATATACTTTATAGAGGGACTGGACCCATTGTGTTGTATAGACCTTTCACCCAGTCAGTCTTTTACCCTGTGTCTGTATTGGCCCTTCAGATTTGATTGCTATGTTTATTATGTTGTTAACTATTGTTGGCTCTTATGATAAATTCCCTCTCAATATCTAGGGCGAAAAAAAGGTGAAATTTAAACTGTGGTGAAAATTTCCAGGTATACAGTAGAACATATAATAAACCATAAAAATATAAGCACCTGGACTTTGATATAAAGTGGAATGTTTTACTTGCTTGCCCCTCAGGATTGGCAGCAGACTCAACTGCTCCATGTCTTCCAAGAACAGTTGGTGACTGGACGTCCCAATAACAATGCTAAGGGAATGGAGGCCATCGTGGACCTCCGAGAATCAGGATCCTTCTCGGAAAACTTTTATCTGGTAGTATTGGAAAGAAATAAAGATAAGGGGTCGACGGTCCACATGTGGAAGATCAATATCGCCTCACAGACTGGTCTCCATGATGGTGAGTTCTATTGACTATTTAATGAGTACGCTGATTGTTTTCTTGTAGCACTATTCAATAATAAAGATCAAAGTTACTTTAAAATCAATATTTTTTTTCATGTCAAATATGTCTTTTTCTGTCAAATATTATTCCCAAGGTCAAAAATATACTGCCTGCAAGCTGAAGAAAGAATACTAAATTGAAATATAAAAAGATTAAACATGGACATAGAAACCATAACTTGATATTAGTATACAGAAATTGTGTGGTTGCTAGGTAACCAGTATTCACACATCATTTTATTTTGCCAGCTTAAAGTGCATTGTTCTATGTTGCTAGGTAACCAGAGTCGACACTATGTCCCGGACAATAACATTATACATGACGATGGGTCAGATGCTGACTCCTATATAGGATCACCGGTCAACGGTCCAGCCAAACCAACAGCAATGGTCCGACTCACCTTCTCCACAACAAAGGTAACTTTCAAACTGACATTACGGGTTAGCCACAACTGAAGATAAAGATAAGACTCAAATTCCCAATATTGATAAGCCTCGAATTCCCAATAATGGTAAGCCTCAAATTCATTCCGCACAAATGTAAATCTCTACTTGATAATTTTTTTTTAAAAAAACCTCAAAATCTACTAAAAACAATAAAATGTAAGGTAACATATGACCTTTATTTAAATACAAAATTGGGAATGCCTAATTTACAGAACTGTATATGCAGAATGATTTCATGCAAAAAAAACATGGATTTCTGATTTTCTCAAATGAATGAGACAGTTATTTAAAAATCTATTTATTAAACAGATATGTTCACAACCTCTACCCTTGCCTGATGGTGTCAGTGTTGTCAGTGCATCTGTATCAGCCGGTCATCTTAGCTCTGCCTCCATCTACCCAGCATGCCTTGCTCCATATCTATTGGCAACTGCATGTTCTGATGGTAAGACTCGTTTCTGGCGATGTGACCTGAAAGCTGTGTGTGCTCTGAACCATTGTGAAATGACGTGTAGCACTACAAGTTATGAAATGGCTGTTGAGGAAGACGACGGTGTACGTCGACCGACCATCTCCACGGTAACACGTAGTGATGTCATGGACACCACATTTTCATGGGCAGAATGGCACATGATGGGACAATCGGAGCCAAGCTTATTACATGTCAGAGGTAAGCTGCAACTTGGAGTAGTAACAATCAATATGTATAAATATTAGTAACAACAAATATATATGCACTAGTTCATAAAATTTTGTAATTTTGTGGGGGAAAAAAATACTAAGATTTATACAATACATACTTGTTAGCTGGATCATTCATTAGCATATTGGTTTGTTGGTATTAGTCAAGTAAAGGAACTGTTTATCTTTTCGGAAGTGTAAAAGTAAGTCTTTGAAATTGGGTAAAATTAATTATGTTGAAAGATTTTTTTGTAGTTGTCCATTTAATAAATCTTTTTTTTTTGCAATCCCCTCAAATTTTGTCAATCTTTGCTTTGTAAAAAATTACAGGTCAGCCCATCTCTGTGAGCTGTGCATACAGTGGTCGGGTGGCAGTGGCTTATCGTCTTGGCGGTGTGCGGTCAGCCCCAGACAACGATAATAAATATGTCAACCTTTATGTGGCTGTTTACGAGTGTGAATCTACAGGTGAGTTTAACTGTAGGCTACAGAGCATCCTTGGCAAGTTTTATACATTTGAGTAAAAGACAGAATAAAGCATATACATGTAGTCAAATTTTTTATTTTAATTTTCTCAGATGGTTAGAGCTAGTATTGAAAAATTCCCTTTGCAAAAATACTACGTTGTTTGGGTATAAATTCAGGTCTTGTTCTAAAACTTTAAAGAAAATCAGAATTTCAGGGGTGAAAATTCACAATCAAAATCAGGTGTATGCATGGTAAGTGTTTCTTCGATTAATTAAGTGACTGTCTCCTTGGTATATGTTTACATCAGAGTTCGTGGACATTTTACAAATGTAAGTTCGATTAAAAATGTCAAACTAGAAATACAAATTTTAACATAGTTGCAGGCAAAATTCCTAAATACAATTTTGATTGCTTTTATGATTAAAAATGGGTTGTCTTTAAGTGTGATCTTCCTTGTTGTGTATAAATGTTTTCTTTGTCTGCAGGAGGCTCTGAATGGACACTGGAGGATACAATTGAATTAAAAAACATCAGTATACCAGACCCTAAGGCAGAAATAGATCTCAACTTTATTTTTACTCCGGATAACCACTCATCAAAATCATCACACTATGATGATGATAGTCCCGGGACGCTGTCTCCGTCCTCCTCACTTGTCAATATTAACCGAACAAAGTCCGTACCCAGCCTCAGTACCATCTTCACAGTGAGGAAGTGTATAGCTGAACATGGCAACAAGACAGGAATGCTACAACAGAAACATTTGGTCCAGCTTGACTGGGTGTCAACGGAGGATGGAAATCATATTCTAACGGTCGGGGTCGGGTCCCGTATACTCATGTACTCTCAAGTATCAAATGACATTGTGCAATCCTCCAAACGGAGTCAGACAGTAGACAAAAAGAGCACCCAATCCTTCGGTCAGTCCATAAAGGATGTTAGTCACAGACGAAGTGTGTTCCAGAAGTCAAAGTCAATGGTGGTGGATGATCATCAGGAGGAGATTAAATGGATGAAACTACGCTCAATAGATCTGTCTACAGCTGATGGATTACCTCCCTTGCCGATGCACCTGTCGTGGGTACGAGGTGGGATCCTGGTTGTTGGCATGGACAATGAAATGCATGTGTACAGCCAGTGGCGGGGGGCTGGTACAAATGACGTCCTTCCAGTGGAAGAAAATGACAACAGGAGTTTTGAGGATGCTGGCCTTTCAATGAACATATCAAGTCTTAAGCCTCAGCAACATTTTAAACCTTCATATTCCATGCCAAGTTTCAAACACTTAAACACCTTGAGTTTAAAGAAGGAGAAATTGCAAGGCTCTGAGTCTAACCTGTTGAGGTTTAGTTTGTCAAAGGACAAGAGTGAGAGTTCCACCAGCTTGTCAGCTATTCATGAGTTTGGACTATTTGAGGCGGCACGACAGGCAAATCCTGTTCTCCCACAATATCACCCTAAAAAACTGATGGAGCTGCTGAATTTCGGCAAAATACGGAGGGTAAAGGCTATACTGGCCCACCTGGTACGGTATGTTGCTGGCGGGGACATACACCAGGTAGAGGATATGGAGGGATACGAAAAGGATGATGGGAAATGGAATCAGAATCGCCCCCGTGGAATCTCGGTCAGTGGGGCAAGTCCCTGTGAAATGCCGCGTCATCAGGATGACATAAAGCTTGATTACAAGGAAATCAGCTCCATACCACCTTTACCTATGTATGCTCTTTTAGCTGCTGATGAGGATAACACTGTGGCTAAGGCTGACACAATGACCTCTGGGGGTCAGGTTACCACGGTGATGGAGCAGGATTATGGTGACCTGTTTGACAGTAGTCCTAATCTTGAAGATGAACTTGACACAACAATTGGAGCATCGTCTGTGGATAGTCGTACCTCACGGACGAGATTACAGTCCACTGTGACGTCATCACGCCAGAACCCGTACTACTTTGGTCCCGAGTACTCTCTAGCACTGACTAGTCACCTGACCCATACACAGTTACCTGGACTGTCCAGCCTTGACCAGATGTATCTGCTAGCAGTGGCAGACACTGTTGCCAACACCAAAATGGATTTTGCTGACCGGATGGAGACAGACAAACCAGGTATGTGATATTTGTTTTAAACCATTATTATTAACTGTTGTGACCTTTATTGCATTTAATTGCGATTTGCCATTAATCTATCAGAAAAGCACATTTTTGAATGGTAATTGTGTTTCAGACTCCAGTATGAATGAGAACTTGAAGCAGGGAAATGCTGCAGAGTCTATGGATGACTGTGGTCTGAGATTTATTCTTGCTATGCGGCATCACACCTACCTTCTACGTACTCTACCACCTAGACAGAGGATAGCTCTACAGCAACAGGGGCTCAAGTCCTTTAACCTGGTCTGGGGTTTCCACTCAGAGGCCACCGAGGTAAGGCTTTAGTAGCATACTACAAATGTACAATGTAGTGAAACAAGAAGAGTTCAGAAGGCTGCTACAATACAGTAAGATATTAAATATTGTAATGGTGTCTGCTTACACTTACTGTAAATGCCACGGAAGGGTTATTTATAGGACTTCTTGTCTCCCTCAGGAACTGCTGTCTTACATCCCGAGTGTACAGCATGATGATCCGACGTGGGAGGAGTTGAAACAGTTTGGTGCAGGCTGGTGGATCAACAATATCAATATACTCCGGCGTCGCATAGAAAAGGTAAACACTGCATGTCATTAGAGAAGGTAGATACTGATATACTCTTGCATGTCATATAGAGTAAAGTAAACAGTTGTAATGAGTCCCATGGAGAATGTTAACATCAGTATATTCTGGTCTGACATAGAAAATGTATATATATTAGCATACTCTAGTGTTGTATAAAGGATGTATACATGTATACTCAAGTGTTGTAGATATTTTCCAGTGTTGTGCCCCCCTCAGCCACCCCTTCACTAGAATGAAGGATGGGTTTTCACCCTGCTACGAATAATTTTAAGTAGAGTCAATCATGAATTCAGATATCTCACAAAATTTATTCAGACACGCAAAATGGACTTTCACTTAGATGTTGTCATTTTGTTTCCAGATTGAGATCCCCCTGTTTACGTAATTGTCTACTGTAGTTCTATTATTCACGTCTATAATGACATTGTTGTTTGAAGGTTGCCAAAGCTGCTTTCCAGCGGAGAAAGGACCCGATGGATTCAGCAATTTTCTACCTTGCCATGAAGAAGAAAAACGTTCTTTGGGGTCTATACAGGTAAAAGTATTCAGTGAGCTTTATACAGGTATACTTAGATTTTTTTCTATCAGAGAAACAGAATTCTCTTACCCTGGACAGGTGTATCTGCACTTTTACCGGTTTGAGATTAATAGAATCTTTCATCCCCTTGGGGGTGAGACAGGGTAATCTCAACCCGAGGGGTAAGATTCTTAAGTTGTTAAACAGGAGGGTTGCCGAGTGTTTGACAGCTTAATAATCTTACCCCGAGGGTTGAGATCACCCTGTCTCACTCCCAAGGGGGTGAATGATTAAATTTCTCTAACCCTGTTTACTCATGTATTTTATATAGACGTTACATCAATACAAGACAATGTTGATGTGATGCGGCTGAATTGTCGACGTGACGTCATTGTATTGTTGCCATGACGTCATGGTATTGTTGCTATGACGTCATACAACTGTTGAGAACGTGCCAAGAACACATGTAGCTTGTCTCAACCCTAGGGGGAGATAAGAAAATCTCACACCGGTAAAATGGGGGATATCCCAGGCCAGGGTAAGAGAATTCCTTGTCTCACCCTAGGGTTGAGACGGGGGGATTCTCCTATTCATTACAATGGATGACGTCACTTCAACAATACAATGACGTCACGTCAACAATTCATCAACGACACGTCAACCCAGAATTTAGCATGTAACCTTGTCATTACATTGTGTATATGACACACATTGGAAGAACAGGGTAAGAGAAAAAGAATCATTCACCCCCTTGTGGGTAAGATAGAGGAATCTAAACCCTCGGAAAAAGATTCTTAAGTTGCCAAACACTTGGCAAAGGCTCGTGTTTGGCAACTTAAGAATTTCCCCCCTCTATCTCAGAAACAGAACTCTTCTATCTCAGAAACAGAACTCTTCTATCTCAGAAACAGCACTCTTCTATCTGAGAAAAAGAACTCTTCTATCTGAAAAACAGTTCTCTTCTGTATCAGAAACAGAACTCTTCTGTCTCAGAAACAGAACTCTTCCATCTCAGAATCATAAACTCTTCTATCTCAGAAACAGAACTGAGAGGTTTTCTTAAACTTACGTTATCTGCAAGTAAAAAGGATTGTTTGTGAGTTTAACCATTAAAATATTGTTATATATCAGAAGTCAAAGTAAATTCTATTTTATCAATATTGGCCTGTATATTGACTCATTCCTTTCTCCTAATTCAGGTCTATAGACGATAAGAAAATGATGCAGTTTTTCCGAAACGACTTTAGTCAGGACAGGTGGCGTAAAGCAGCATTGAAGAATGCATTTGCACTACTTGGGCGTCAGAGATTCACACATGCAGCCGCCTTCTTCCTGTTGGCTGGTGCGCTGAACGATGCTGTTGAGGTAAACTTCTCTGTCCTAAACACACTTTTCTTGGTGACTGCCTTCATAAGAAGTGCACTATATGTATACACATGTTAGAGGATATCAATAACAGCTGTTTCTCATTAGAGTTGTCATAGTAATTGTTTGATGTGATCAGAAGAAAATTCTGTGCAAGGCTTAGCTTAAGGTTTTCCATCAGATTATTTCATGAGGGTTTAAGGAAAACAAATATTAACTTATGATTTAGAAAAAATTGTGTGCTAGCTGTAGACTTTTAAAAGGGAAGTTTAACCTACTTTTACATGTATTTAACCTTTCTACAAGAAAATTACAAATTGCAAGATGTGATGTCAACCAGCCTAGCCAGCTCTGGTGTTATTTTTCAGATATTGTTCAATTTTTATGCATATTTGTGAATTTGGGGATATGATCAGCCTAAATCACTTTTGAAATGGGGTTTTAGCCACCTCTATGATATAGGCAGGGAATTCAATCCCTCTTCTTAAAATTATATGTAAAAACATATGTATGAACAGAAATAAAAATTTCTCATTGAAAAGTGAAGAATGTTGTGTAAATCACAATATATCACCTATGATAAACACCAGATACACAGTATTGAGTATATGATATTGTTTGTTTATGTAGGTGTGTCTGGATAAGCTCAATGACGTCCAGCTAGCACTTGTCATCTGTCGTTTGAATGATGGCGAGGACATGATGCCAGACAGTGTCAAAAAGATTCTCTACATGAGCATTCTAGGTTGTGATGAAAAGGGTGAAAACTATGATAGCTGTAAAGCTCACCCTGACCCTTTCCTGCGAAGTATGTCACTGTGGTCCCTCAAAGATTACCGTGGCTCACTGAACACGCTGCTTCACTCCAGTGACAGTCATCATCACAAGGTGGTGGATAGTGTTGAGCTTGAGGGGCACAATGCCATGCCCAGTGTGTTTAACTTCTATAACTTCTTACGTACTCACCCCCTACTACTCAGGCTGCGAATAGCTGCTACAGGTCAGACAAAGAAAAATAAAAAAATAATTCCAGGATTTACGAGACAACAGACAGTTGTGTTGGATGATAGTTCTGTGTTTGTTGACAAAGTGACGCCCATGGAAAGAAAACTGTTCTTCACGACAGCTCACTCTCATTACATGAATGGGTGTCCATTACTAGCCCTGGAAGTCCTGTCAAAACTACCTCCTGTCATTGAAGACAAGAAAGCTCTGGATGTGGACTTCGAAAGCGAGACCTCGTCCAAGGATGACTGTATAAATACCGGTACACTGGATGACGAGGCTGCTGTAACAGATTGGAGTAAGCCTGCTGTCAGTGGGTTTCAGGAAACATCCAATGGCTTTGATTGGAGCACTCCTGTGGCATCTGCTAAGGAAACATCAGACTTGGATTGGGGCGCATCAATTGATAAGTTTGGTGCAGATGACGACCTCCCAAATTTCAATATTTCCTCGGAAGAAGATGCAGATGAAGATGATGATGAGATGAATGGTGTTAGATCTGCAAGCCAGCCTAAAGGAAAGTTAGAAAAGTTACCTACAATTGTCGTAGAGGAACCCAGCCCACCTGTCCAGAGTAGTGAAGATATGTCTCCAGAGAAACCACCTGACAAGGTCAAGGACAAAGGTCACCAGGTGGACATCTTTGCACAGCAGTACAAGTTCATTGCATGTCTCAAGGTACTACTTAAAATAGCTTACTTAATATGAGTATATCTCACACCTCTGTTATAGGTTATTTGGACTGAGGGTCATTCCTGTTAAAAATATCCGCTCTACTGCAAGACAAACTGAACTAAATTTTGTCGCAGGTGAATAGTTTCATAATGTGATTCATAATTCATGATGTGTATCATAAACGTGTGTTGGTGGTGCCCTCAAAAACAAGGTGCCTTCATGGTGTGCAGATGATTCTAAATGTGAATAGCCCAAAGGAATTAAATGTCAAATTATTTTTCATTCAGCAATTCTAAAGTCGAACTATTAAAATAAGAAAACAAAATTGAGATGTTATAAGTTTGAAATATTTTTAATGTTAATAAATCTCAAATATGTTATTTTAATTAAGCCTGATTGATTGCTAAATCTGGATTGTCCACCCACAGGTGCTGATGGAGGAGATGCAGACCCTGGCCACAGGGTTTGAAGTAGATGGTGGTCAGTTACGCTTCCAGCTCTATATTTGGCTGGAGCGGGAGGTGGAGGTGCTCCAGTACCTCTGTAACTACGGCGGTACAGATCAAGAAGGTCAGGAAGACCTACATGCGAACACAGATGGTAATATTTGCTGTAAATCTTTCACTTGTTTGCACTTTCAATTCCTGTAAGGTATGGTCTATTATTTTTCTAGTGTTATTAAGTGGTTTTATTTTGTTAGTACATGTACTGCCTGTTTTTGTCTTATGTACTAGATGTCTAATCAGAATAACACAGATAATACATTTCACGAATAAAAAAATTTCCTAGTTGTATGTTTATACCCGGTAGGTTATTCCTGGCCCTGTATTATGTATATATTAGGGTATTTTGTTGCCCTACATTACAGTAATTCCTAGCCCTGTATTATGTATATATTAGAGTATTTCGTTGCCCTACATTACAGTAATTTCTGGCCCTGTATTATGTATATATTAGGGTATTTCGTTGCCCTACATTATAGTAATTCCTGGCCCTGTATTATGTATATACATGTATTAGGGTATTTTGTTGCCCTACATTACAGTTATTCCTGGCCCTGTATTATGTATATATTAGGGTATTTCATTGCCCTACATCACAGTAATTCCTGGCCCTGTATTATGTATATATTAGGGTATTTGGTTGCCCCACATTACAGTAATTCCTGGCCCTGTATTATGTATATATTAGGGTATTTCGTTGCCCTACATTACAGTAATTCCTGGCCATGAATCCTGGATATATAATTTCTTCAGGTCTTGTATAAGGTATATTGCTGTTTATCATGTCTACCTGATTTCCACAGCCCTGAATGGCTATGATGACGAGACGTTACTGGATGTTCACACCAGCTTTACACGATCAATGTCCCAGAGGTCGGATTCCTCCTACAAGCCAACACTACATGAGGTCATTTTGGCTGAAAAAATGGACTTTGAGGCAAAACTTGAGAGGATGGCTCGTCGTAAACAGTGGCTAAGGGCCAACCAACAACTGCTTCGTACTCTGGCCAGTTACTGTGTGCTGCAGGGTGCTGGGGGAGGAGGGCTAGCCTCTGTGGAGATGGAGCTGCTGCTTCTCTTACAGGTAGCTTAATGAGGCAGAAGTTACCTGGAATTACATTAACTTCTGCCAAATTTTATTCTTATCTGACTATACTTCATGACTATTATGAATGGATTTTGACCAAAATCATAAATACAAAATTATTTTTGTGCCTGGCTTAGGTATTTTATGAATACCCTGTTTATTTCAATGCCACTTTTTGGTCCGATTGGTATTTCTCTTTGTATATTTTTTAACACACATATATATATACTGAAATCCTCCTTTATCAAAAAGTGTTTCTATGATCCCAATAACTTCATATTACAAAATGTGTCTGTTTACTGTTCGAATTTGCTAACTTTCATTTTACATAGAATTGACATTGTTTACTCTAGGAGTTACGCTTATTATCATTACAATGTGTGATTCTTACATTACTCTAGTTGAAGTTTGCTCATAATTCCAACTTTCATTTTACATAATGTTTACAATGTTAAAGGAGTTGCAACAGGACAAGCCTCAGCAGCAGCTGTTGTCTCCTCTGCCATTTCCCACCACGCTGCCCCTCCTGTCTGCCAGTATTGCCAGCTCCAAGACCGTCGTAGCAGATCCCATCCAGCACATCCAATGTATGACTCAGGACCTTCTACATTCCATTGTGGAGCTGACTACTCCTCCGGGCCTCGGTATCAACATGAACACTGTGCTTGTGATGCAGAACCTAAGTGTAGCACTGTCTTCCTGTTTATACCAGTGTCTATGTGACTGTGACAGCTTTGTCGTGTCACTAAATGAGACCCAAGGAACGTCTATGGACGGGTTCATGGCGTAAGTTTCACATTTTCAAACCTGTTTTCAAAATAGGTTTTTTGTCAATATAATATGGCTGAGCCTCAATGTAGACAGAGAAAAACTTACTTCAGGTTGAGGCCTCACTGTCTACCTCGCAGTCATATTTTCGGCAGAGTGTGGTTTAGACAGTAAAAACCTGAAACTCCAGTTTAGATTTTCCTGTCTACATCACACAGTTATAACAGTTTCTATTATTTGCTCAGGGTCTATATTCATGAAATCGTTCCCATGCTCAAGCATGGATTCTGTGCTCAAACTAGTGTTCTTGTAACTGGCTTAGATCATGCCAAACAATCAAATAAGCAAATGTAAACATTGAAAACAGTATTTGGCTCTGATTCTCTTCAAATGTTTTCCAAATCATTGACAAAATTGACTTCACAACCAGCTAATAAATACACTGAGTAAAGCTAGTAAACAGATGTATCAGTAGGCCACCTCAGGTAACTCTTCACAGCCAGCTATTAATTACACTGAGTAAAGCTAGTTAACAGATGTATCAGTAGGTCACCTCAGGAAACTCTTCACAGTCAGCTAATAAATACACTGAGTAAACCTAGTTAACAGATGTACCAGTAGGCCACCTCAGGTAACTCTTCACAGCCAGCTAATAAATACACTGAGTAAAGCTAGTTAACAGATGTATCAGTAGGTCACCTCAGGTAACTCTTCACAGTCAGCTAATAAATACACTGAGTAAAGCTAGTTAACAGATGTACCAGTAGGCCACCTCAGGTAACTCTTCACAGCCAGCTAATAATTACACTGAGTAAAGCTAGTTAACAGATGTATCAGTAGGCCCCCTCAGGTAACTCTTCACAGCCAGCTAATAAATACACTGAGTAAAGTCAGTAAACAGATGTAGCGGTAGGCCACCTCAGGTAACTCTTCACAGCCAGCTAATAAATACACTGAGTAAAGCTAGTTAACAGATGTACCAGTAGACCACCTCAGGTAACACTTCACAGCCAGCTAATAAATACACTGAGTAAAGCTAGTTAACAGATACAACTATAACTATACAGCTATAACTACTACATCAAAACAACATATCATAATATTTCATTACAGGCACAACTTCAACAGCAGTCAGGCGGGACATCTAATGGCAGGGGTGCAACGTTATCGCCGCAGGTCAAGCATAGGAGACAATCTGATCAACACGCCACCATCAAAGTGGCCAGGAGTTACCTCCCTTAGGGTATTGCTTGCTCGGGAGAAAGACAACGCTGCACCAAAGCTGAACATCTTATGCTGTGAGAGTCTGATTGCTGTTTATGTGAGTCTGTTGGTGAATGCCATGGCCATGTATGACTGCAACATGCTCTACCGACTCGTGTCACATCGTTTTGAACATCAAATGTGGGGTGCATTGTTTGGAGGTGGAGTCAAGACTGCACTGAAGGTTGCTAACAATCCCCATCCTGTGTCCATGAGTAAGTAATTGTAATGAATCTTTGTCATTCACCTGCTTCAATTAGCTGACAGTTAAAGGTGAAGGTCATTGTTACCATGTTAAAAGTGAAGGTCACTGTCAGCATGTTAAAGGTGAAGGTCACTGTCAGAATGTTAAAGGTGAAGGTCACTGTTACCATGTTAAAGGTGAAGGTCAATGTGACCATGTTAAATGTGCAGGACACTGCTGGCATGTTAAAGGGGAAGGTCACTGTTACCACGTTAAAGGTGAAGGCCACTGTTACCATGTTCAAAGTGAAGGTCACTGTTTCCATGTTAAAGGTGACGGTCAATGTCAGCATGGTAAAGGTGAAGGTTAATGTGACCATGTTTAATGTTCAGGACACTGCTGGCATGTTAAAAGATGAAGGTCAATGTCAGGATGTTAAAGGTGAAGTTCACTGTTACCATATTAAAGGAGAAGGTCACTGTTACCATATTAAAGGTGAAGGTCAATGTCAGCATGTTAAAGGTGAAGGTCACTGTTACCATGTTAAAGGAGAAGGTCAATGTCAGCATGTTAAAGGTGAAGGTTAATGTGACCATATTAAGGGTGAAGGTCAATGTGACCATGTTTAATGTGCAGGACACTGCTGGCATGTTAAAGGTGAAGGTCAATGTCAGCATGTTAAAGGTGAAGGTTAATGTGACCATATCAAAGGTGAAGGTTACTGTCAGCATGTTAAAGGTGAAGGTTAATGTGACCATGTTTAATGTGAAGGACACTGCTGGCATGTTAAAAGATGAAGGTCAATGTCAGCATGTTAAAGGTGAAGGTTAATGTGACCATATCAAAGGTGAAGGTAACTGTCAGCATGTTAAAGGTGAAGGTTAATGTGACCATGTTTAATGTGAAGGACACTGCTGGCATGTTAAAAGATGAAGGTCACTGACAGCATGTTAAAAATGAAGGTCACTGTAACCATACATAGACATTCAGGTTCTAATGGTTCAAGTTGTAGTTGGATGCAGCATCAAATCACTTCAGTCAGCATCATTCCATTTACATGACTAATTCTATAATTAAACCATGTTGTTTCATTGCTATAGACAGAAAGGGTTCTAATACAATGAATAATTATTACATTGACCTGTGCTTACCCTGGGTTATCAGACTGACCCCTGATTATCACTTATGTTTTAGGACCTGGTGATGACCTGTCCAAAACCAGGATAAAGCTGAACATGAAGGTCGGGGCAGGACCGGGAACAAAGGAGAAGACGACCTTCAGGGAGACTTTTGTACCCCCAGAACTCAGCATGATATCCTTCTTCATGACCAAGGTGTGTAGTAACAGTCTGTGTCTCAGTTTTTCTCATGTACAGACTAGTTGTACTAAGTGTTTATGTTTTGATGCTAGCTAGTTAAATCTTCTCATTCTCAGTATATGTGATGTGGATTATCAATCATACACCTGACAGGTAATGTTAACTTACACAGTGCAACTTTTGACAGGAATTAATTTCTTCATTTTGCTGAAAAAAAAGTGTTGTGCTTAATATAGAAATGTTTATAAATTACCTGAAAGAAATTGTTAAGAAGCTGACCCTGGGGCTCCCAAACTCCGGCAATCCTCTAATATATTTGATAGGGGAATAAAAACAAATTACACATGATGTATTTTTATAGTATCATTATTCAGTAATTTATTTTCTACTACGGTTTGTTACTTTTCAATCTTTCTACAATTTAAGAAAAGTTGATAATAAAAGATAATTCAGTTCAGTTGAGGAAGCCAATTGCACTCAGGATAATTTACTTTTGGGAATGATTTCTCAGCTTTTTGAATTATTTTCATTGTTCATTGAAATCAATACATGTACAGTACGTTTTACAATGTAAAAATACACTTGTTCACCTTTTAAATCTCCAGCCATTCAATACCTCATCTGAGAAAGAATTCCACTACGATTCCGAGGAGTCGTTATCCGATGAAGACGAACCATTTGATGACGATGAAGAGGATTATCTTAGACCAAAAACCTTGTATGTATTACAATCAACGATCTGTCCTTTCAACTTATAGAAAAGATTGGTTAATGGAAGTTACAGAGCCAAAACCATTTGGTGAAGAATCAACCCGCTTAGGGTGTTAAAAAAACTTTATTATGAGGGCAAGAATATTATATGTTCAATGCACAGTACGTGAAACATGTTCACTTTGAAGATGCCATCTGGTAAAAGTCAAGGTCTTTGTTATTATTTTGTAGAACATTTTAATCATCCCACTCATGACTCCACTCATGGCTTTACTTTCCAATGCATATATTTTGATCTCCCCTACATGTATTAAATAGGGTGATACCTTGAGCAACTTGATGGATGTGAGGGAATGAGTATTTCTTAAATGATGCCGTGTTTGTGTTTTAACTGATACAAACATGAGACAAGTGGTTGTTAGAATAGACACAAACTTTCAGATTGTGTCACCACTATAAAGGATATGATATACCCGTATGTGGTTTTGCTGATATAACTTTGTGTTAAGTGATTATAGATTTCAAGACTCAGTGTTATGTATGTGAAGGTGACACAAATTTGTGTTATGCAATTTTTGGTGAGAAGACTTATTGTAACGCAATTATTGCTGATAAGTCTTTGTGTAAAGTTTATTTTGCCGGAAAACTTTTTGTTGAGTGTTCATGCAATGTGAAATTGTCTATGAGCAGGCCACTGGCGTCCACTCAACAGTCTACTGACCCAACGTCCTATTCCTGGGCCCTGATCCGCTTCTGTGTCATCAAGGTCATCCTTCACAACCTACAAGTCTTCCTGCCACAGATTGGGATAGAGCTTCAAGGTAAGATTGGGATAGGGCTCCTAGGTAAGATTGGAATAGAGCTCCTAGGTAAGATTGGGATAGAGCTCCTAGGTAAGATTGGAATAGAGCTCCAAAGTAAGATTGGAATAGAGCTTCAAGGTAAGATTGGGATAGGGCTCCTAGGTAAGATTGGGATAGAGCTCCTAGGTAAGATTGGAATAGAGCTCCAAAGTAAGATTGGAATAGAGCTTCAAGGTAAGATTGGGATAGGGCTCCTAGGTAAGATTGGGATAGAGCTCCTAGGTAAGATTGGAATAGAGCTCCAAAGTAAGATTGGAATAGAGCTTCAAGGTAAGATTGGGATAGGGCTCCTAGGTAAGATTGGGATAGAGCTCCTAGGTAAGATTGGAATAGAGCTCCAAAGTAAGATTGGNAGATAATATCGAGATAGAGCTCCAAGGTAAGATTGGGTTGGAACTCAGAGGTAAGATTGGGCTAGAGCTCTGAGTTCAGATCAAGATGGAGCTACAAGTACGATAGGGATAGATATTCAGGGTATCTAACATTGCACATACACACTAGATTTCAGAAACATGATAATAAGTGGTAACTAACTGTCACTTGCCTGTTGGGTCAATAATGGATATATCAAATTTTCTATTTGATTTAAAACAAATACCTGTCCTTAAAAGTTTATTGATGTCATAATTCAGATTTCTATGGAAATATGTCTGTGGGAAAGTGTAACAATTCAAATTTCTATTTAGAGCTGCCAATCTGCTCGACACTGATGCACATGGTAATGAAGACTCTAGAACAGTGGATGGAGGTCCTGCAGAGAAAACTGGAGCTGTTTGCTGGACCGCCGGAGGATTTTATCGCCGGTCTACAGTTGGATGTGGTAACAGGTGTCCCACAGTCCAAGTACCAAGTGTTGTTACAGCCTCAGAACTCACCCTTCACGTATGTGCTAAATAGTGATTGGACCAATGCTACACCAGGAGCAGGCACAAATAACGCCGTCTAAGTACATTTTCCAAACACTTGCACTCACTAACTTTCCACACTTGATTAATTTGACTCTGCATTTTTGTGCCTGCTCCGATTCATGTATCAGGATACCTCTAACCTGGTGTAAACTCTCTCTCAGTTGTATGATAAAGGGAACCTTATGCTGTACTTATAAATATACTGCACATAAGCAAAATTGTAATCGGCCTAGCTATCTCGCATAAATAATGAAAGAGAATCTTGATGTACATACCAAATAGTCATTATACCAACTCTCTTGACAACTGAAAATCATAAGAAATTTGAATCATCAAAAACTATAATTGAAAGATTCACAGTAAGCTGCCTTTTCTTTTGTTTGTAATTTCCTAGGCATTTTATTCATGTTTTGTCGTGAAAATAGCTCAACAGGGCTAATGTTTATCGTTTTACATATACAACTATAAATAATCTTCTTGAATATTGTTTCTTGTATCTTGACGGATCCCAGTAGTATAATCAGTGAAATATTATGCTGTCTTGTGAAGGATCCCAATAGTATAATCAGTGAAATATTATGCTGTCTTGTGAAGGATCCCAAAAAGCTGTTTGATGTCTTTCCAGGGACGGCCATGTCTGTCTGCCAATCAAAAGACTGTGGTTCCACTTACTGAAACAAGCCCATCTGAAGGACGTCTTCATCCGATACATCTACAGGAAGAAAAAGATCCCACAGATGGATGTATGTGTAACACATGTTTGTAGACTCGTATCGTATATAATGGTGATGCAGTATATTTGTTCGTAATTTGAGAATCTAAGTTTACCGACCCATAAAGACACAAATAAGGCACAATTTCCAGATTTTGATTTTGTGCAACAGAAACAATACAGGATAATCTCTAAACCAAGTACAACCTAGATATAGTTACACTGGACTGATCATTCGTCTGATGGAGTTAAGAGTTTAGTGTCATTGATAGGTTGTGGTTCAAATGAGGCTTAACAAAATTATACCCATGTTATTTAGTACATAAAAGCTGATAGACAAGCAAATCTTTTCCTACACAAGTTATATTAAACTAAAGATAATTTCATTCGGGGTTTTTTCGCTTTTAATTTTGATCTTTTTATCACAGTTATTTTTTCCAAGTTATTTGTCTTATAAAGTTACTGTTTCATAAAATTGGATTGTGATGAATGGGTATTCTTTGTAACGAATGTTTCAAGAGACACGGTTAATATGTTTGTCGTAGGAATCGACGAGTCAGTCGGATTTGCCAGACGGAAGTGTGAAGATACGTGACCCGATGAAGATCATCCACAAGGAACAGGATATAATCACTGCTTTTGCTCTAAATCAGGTAATATTCGCTGTGACGGGTATTTATTGTCCTGAGTATAGGCTGTAATAGGACTCATATTGGTGGTTATAGATTCGGAACGGGGCCTACAGTTTATAGTATATGCCACAACAGGGCCACAAGTTGGTAATATGTAACTTACCATGGCCTTAGATTGGTAAAATGGAATAGCAGGAACACTGAATGTCCTCATATGGCTGCAAGAAGTAAAGTTTCATCTACATAGTCGGGGCCAATATGTGCTATACAGAGTTGGAGACTACAAAGTGGATTCAAATAATTATTCAACCAGAAGCACAGATTAAAAGTTCCAAGAAAGAAGTAACTATGTGGGCCAGTAACGATGTATAGAACCAGAGGTGTTTCCCTGATAACACCAGTATCACATAGAATGTGCTGAATCCAGATGTAAAATGGTATGGTTTCATCTTGCTTAATGGTCCTGTTAGGAGTTTCAGCACAGATTTGCTCAGTGTGGAATTAATCTTGGGATGCTGTACAAAATATTTTTTATCTGTTCTTCAAGGGAGAAAATGGGGGAGATCGAATCGAGGCAAAACTTTCCCATTTTGCAGTGAACATGTAAACCAAACAAAATGTGGACACTGTGTTTCAAATAATTTCATTAAAAAAAATCTGGTATAAATTTCAGTGTGCAGGAACCGTGGGAGATTTTTATTTTTTTATTATATATTTTCTTTTAGATATCATGTTCATTGATGTTTACTTCATTATATGACCTCATTTAATTACGATTATTGATCTTAACGAACACTCCATGATCTCATTTCATCGCGATCATTTCTCTTGGCTGTATTTTGTAATCTCATTGGTTTTTAAATAGCTACATTATATGGTCTCATTTGATTATCATCATTGATCCTAGCTAAATTCCCTGATCTCTTGTAATTGTTATCATACCTCTTTGCTGTTTTCTATAATCTCATGCTCTCTCAACTGACACTGATTATAGGGTTAAGCAAGGATGTCCCAATTTCTTTTCAGGATAATGTGAAGGTTGGTGTTAAATTATTTTGTAAACAAGACTAATGAAAAATATAAAACCTGCACAGCCAGATTGATGGCCATTTTATATTTTTACAGTGTACGACTCTGTAGAATATGGTATCAATATAAATCAAGAACCGGTGAAGGGTTGGATATACCATATACAGAGTGTACCACTTTCTGCTAAACTAAACAATTGTAGTTTCGGATCTCTACCTTATCTGCTATAGATATATAATAGGCCACTGTAAGGAGTTAAAATTAAGTATTTTCGCAACTATTTTAGAAGTAAGCTAACTCCATCATCAGTCACAAGTTATCATATATTAATAACAATGATGACACAATGATATATAAGATTATATTCAAAAGAAACAAGATTACCTAGAGGAATATTGGATCGTTTCCTCCTTGAGGACTATCATCTTTCTCTCTTAGGGGAACTTATCGGATCATTTTTTGTGTTGCCTGCGAAAAGCTGGTGACACATAGGTATTGCTGTCGGCGTTGGCGTCGGCACAGAGGTTTTCGTGCGATAACTTGAGTTTCCTTGGGCTGATCAAAATCAAACTTCATGCAGTGCTTCCTGACCAAAAGTGCTTGCTTGGGATTGCTTTTCAGGTCCGAAGGTCAAAGGTCAAGGTCACTGTTAACATAAATAGAAAATGTTTTCGTGCGATAACTTGAGTTTCCTTGGGCCGATCAAAAACAAACTTCATGCAGTGCTAAGCACAATCTCCCAGCTTCCTGCGCAGGCGACACATCCACTTCCATGGAATTCTTGTCTGTCTAAGGAACCTTTCCCTCTTCCCCAAGAGGGACCCATCTTTGAAGAGACTTTATCCTTCTTCCCTGTCGTAAATTTCTTTCTCTTTTCCCCCTCTCTGGAGTTCTATCCGGGTTTTTTGGGGGGAAAGTTTTGCTAACTTTACTCCTCAGAAAATCAGATAACATTACTTCTAACTTACATTTATGCATTAACTAAGTAATATGTATATTAACTAAGAATTAATGCTATAATTTAACTTATGGTACAATTGTATTCTCACCATGATTATAACATTAAGCTTGTGTATCTATTCTAACAAATTCATTTCCTTTTAAAGATATTATTGTTTGCTTATGCCGTACTGCGGCGTCCGTTGTCCGTCGTCCGTAGTCTGCATCCGTCCGTCAATTTTTTCTTTTGAACGACTTCCTCTGAAGAACTGTAGGACCTAGGGTTATGATATTTGGTCAGTAGGTACCTGGGATGGAGTGCTATAAAGTTTCCTCATTAAAATGACCTTGACCTACTTTCAAGATCACAGCGGTCAAATATGTTAAAAAATTCAAACAGCAATATCCTAAGAACCATTTGAACTAGAGTCATGATACTTGGGTATGTTATGTAGACCAGCAGTGTGAATATTTTTCTTAATTACAGTAATGAGGTCAAAGGTTAACTTTAAATGCTAGTTGGGGGTCAAATGTCAACTTTGGTTAGAAGCTTTAACAATCTTCTTCTCAAGTTCCATAAGGCCCAGGGTCATGATATTTGGCAAGTAGGTACCTGGGATGTAGTGCTAAAAATTTCCTCCTTAAAATTACCTTGACCTACTTTCAAGGTCACAGGGGTCAAATATGTTAAAAACTTCAAACAACAATATCCTAAGAACCATTTGGACTAGTCATGGTACTTGGGTAGGTTATGTAGACCAGCTGTGTGAATTGTTTTCTTCATTGCAGTAATGAGGTCAAAGGTCAACTTTAAGTGCAAATTGGGATTCAAATGTCAACTTTGGTTAAAAGCTTTAAAATTAAAATTTTAAGTTTCAAACAACAATATCTTCAGAACCGTCAGAACCGTTTAAGAGATGTTAAAATGTCTTGTGTTCTAGTTACCAAATGGTCTTAAGTTACCTATATGTCAGTTGCATGTAACAAAAGAAACAGGTGAGCGATACAGTCCCTCTGGGCCTCTTGTTTTCTCTCATTTTATTGCATTCTTTATCATAATTCAAGGTAAATAAATACAAATAAATATTTTTGATAAATGTAAGTACAATGTACTGATATGCCATGGTCAAAAAGCCCATAATCTTGGGTGAGTGGAGGTGGATGGAGATGGGTATTTGGCCTCCCCACACATACTTTCTAGATAGCTTTCAGTGATTGGGGATATCATTCTGCTCCTGTTGTGCTCAAAGTTCTACAGCTTCTACGGAAGGGAGCTTTGGCCCCAAGCATCCCCCCCCCCAACCACCAATGGCTTCAATCTTGATCTTCAGTCTCCAATTCTTCCCCTCCCCAATCAGTTGGCCCAGGCTACAGCCATGCATACCTTTGAAAGGAAATAGTATTAAATATGAATGATATCTGGAATATGAACAAATTCTACAAGAATTATGTGATTGGCAATTAACACCTACTGAAGATAATTTATTGTTTAATGAAACTGTTTCTTTAAACCCAAGCCAGTATTTGTCATCATCTTCAGTACCGTGTGCCTTGGTTGTCATTTGTTAAAAACATCATTTTTGTTTCAAGCATAGTAAATCATTCACAAAAAGATTGTTTTTAATGTTTTTGCTTTTATTTCAGCAAATGTATTTTTCATCACAGTTAAATCAGTGTGTTGTTAATTTGCTTTGAAACATCTTAAAGGGTTTTATTTTTAATCAACATTTGATTTAAGAACCATTACCTTACTAAGGAATATTTGAAGAAAAATATTACACATACTAACATCAAGGGTTTAATTTTTAATCAACATTTGATTTTAGAACCATAACCTAAGCTTACTAAGGAATATTTACACGTACTAACATCATAACTAATGTTGTAAATGTGTACTCCAGTTTAGGATGATCAAATCATTGTTTTGTTACTGTAATTACTGTTAATGATCTTAATTTATGTTTCATTTATCATTTATACAAGAATCACAATGTAATTGTTAATTTTACCTGGATAATAAGAATTCATATTTCTTTGAATCACGATAATTTTCTGTGGTGAATATTTTCTCATGAATCCTCAAGAAGAGTAAATTACAAATTCAGAGATTTTGTGATCATGTAGCCAGGTACATTTAAAGAACAGACATGTACAATATGTTTCTGGCATTGTGCTGTACTTATTTCACATTGTCTTATCCTCGTCAACATGTCTCCTGAAGTACAATTGATGAAATTCATGTTCGTATAAATAGTATAATTTGTTTATTTGTAAGTCAAACATTTATGATTTTGCCAGCTTATCATTGTGTGTTGTGGTATTCTAACTAGGTTGACTATTTGGAGGTGAGTTTATTTCACAGCTATTCTAACATGTGGTCTACACATACTTCATGAGAGTTGTACTTAGTAAATGTATGCTTATCTGTATATGCAGAAAATTTCTGGCCCCTCCTAAATCTCTCTCCTTACACCAACACCACTGTCCATCTTTTGCCAGCTGTGACTGTTTGCAAATGTTTTATAGATGTTCGCTTGAAGCTTTGAGAACAAAATTGTGATTTACACTGTAAAACTCTACTTTTACACCTTCAGAGATGAAAGATATATCTTGCATTTAATATTGTGAGTTTAAAATTCCAGAAAAAAATCAATTCTAAATTCCTTTAAGAAATGCTAGTACATTATCCCAGGTCCAAGTGCTATGCATTTTCCGTAGGTAATTTGTTTCCTTAATTTAAGCAATATTTTCTATTTGGGGAATTTAAGTTAAAGAAGAATCAGTTAGTATGCTTTCTGAAACCAGGGCCAGATTTCATTGACTTTTAATAATACAAAGTGGAAAAAATTGCAACGGTTGACTGATATTTGTTAAAAAGATAAATCCCTGTTCAATTCATTCTTTAAAATCATTATAGTCCTTCTGTCTGAAGAATGGAGATGAATCTTACCCATTTCATATGAATGAATTTTCTAGAGTACAAATCTCATGACTGAAGTATTGGTATGTTTTGTCTAATGTTGGCAGATTCAAATTCTGAAACTTTCTAAGTTGCCTGTTACCCTTTGGTGAAATATGATATGATATTTTTGCATATTTTGTTTCTCAATGAAAAAAAATAAAAATTTTAAGATGATTTCTCAATAATAATATCAAAGGCATAGTGTTACCTCACAAAATGGAATATTTTTTGTTATAGCGAAACTTAGTTATTTATTTATTAACATTTTTTTTTTGAGAAATCAGAACGTGTTTCACCTTGGGTAGATAGACAATAGTATTCTATAGAAGGCAAACACCTCTATAGAGGAACACAACTCTATAGAGGGGACATAACTCTATAGAAGGGACACAACTCTATAGAAGGGAAACAACTCTATAGAAGGGAAACAACTCTATAAAGAATCACTTTGCGGGATCTGTAATAGCTGGTGCTTTACTGTCTTAATAATGAGGGCAATCCTATGTGTAGCAATATATTTATCAGTGAATAATTAATATGTTACTTAGCAAACTATTTATCAGTTGATTATTGTAGAAGACCTGTATTATTAAGTGGCTTTGTGGAGGACGTATAAGGCTAATATTGGTGTACATGTATATGCTGTAATAATAGTTGCTGGGATAAACAATAAAATGGGTTATATGGGTATGTCAATATCATACTTAATTTAAACTTTAACTGCTTAAAAAAATGTATTAATATTATATTTATATTTAATACTATACAAAATTAACCCAAAGAACATACCATTAAGTATACATGTAATGACACTTTTGCGATGTATCACAGTACATTGTTAGTGTATAGTGTATGTTTTAACTGATTCCACTGTCATTTTGGAGGTACAGTTCCTTTATGTAGGTGATCCTGGCATGGTTATGTGCCAATTACAAACAGAAAAGAAATTTCTATGTATGTCTTGAAGGTATCATGTTTCAATGCCAGTGGTATTTAGTGTTAATAGCTCTTTTTAAAGGGGGTTCATGAACATCATAGTGATTATTCAGTGGGCTTGTGCTACTGTCTTCCAGAGTTATCTCTTCATGATTACAGGAATTTGAAATACAAACAACAATACAATATTTATATGTATGAGCAATGGATAAAAATATTAATGATTTGCAAAAACTAGTCCTCATAGTCAAGTTTTAAGTTATGTTCTATTGACTAAAGGCAGTTCTACACAAAAACCTCTGACACAGGTACAATGTGTTTGATGAGTGTAATAAGGGATTGATCCATTGATAACACAGTGTAATTAGGGCCTGGCCCATTGATAACACAGTGTAATTATGGCCTGGTCCATTGATTGATAACACTGTATTTAGGGCCTGGTCAATTGATAACACAGTGTAATTAGATCATGGTCCATTGATAACACAGTGTAATTTGATCATGGTTTATTGATAACACAGTGTAATTAGATCTTGGTCCATTGATAACGTAGTGTAATTAGATATTGGTCCATTGACTGATAACATGATGTATTTAGGGCCTGGTCCATTGATTGATAACACTGTATTTAGGGCCTGGTCCATTGATAACACAGTGTAACTAGATCTTGGTCCATTGATAACACAGTATAATTAGATCTTGGTCCATTGACTGATAACATGATGTATATAGGGCCTGGTCCATTGGTAACACTGTAATTAGATCATGGTCGATTGATTGATAACAAGATGTATTTAGGGCCTGACCCATTGATTGATAACACCATGTATTGAGGGCCTAGTGACCATTGATAACACAGTGTAATTAGGACCAAGTGACCCATTCATTGATAACACTCTGTATTTAGGGCCTGGTCCATTGATTGATAACACAGTGTACTTAGGGCCTGGTGACCACTGATAAAGCAGTGTAATAAGGGCCAAGTGACCCATTGATTGATAACATGATGTTGTTAGGGCCTGGCCCATTGATTGATAACACAATGTACTTAGGGCCTGGTGACCACTGATAAAACAGTGTAATTAAGGCCTAGTGACCATTGATAACACAGCTTATTTAGGGCCTGGTCCATTGATTGATAACACTCTGTATTTAGGGCCTGGGCCATTGATAACACAGTATAATTAGGGCCCAGTGACCCATTGATTGATAACAATAACACTGTATTTAGGGCCTGGTCCATTGATTGATAACACTCTGTATTTAGGCCCTGGGCCATTGATAACACAGTATAATTAGGGCCCAGTGACACATTGATTGATAACACAATGTATTTAGCGCCTGGTCAATTGATAACACTGTTATTAGGGCCCAGTGACCCATTGATTGATAACACGATGGATTTAGGGCCCGGTCAATTGATAACACTGTAATTAGGGCCAAGTGACCCATTGATTGATAACACGATGTATTTAAGGCCTAGTCAATTGATAACCCTGTAATTAGGGCCCAATGACCCATTGATTGATAACACGATGTATTTAGGGCCCGGTCAATTGCTAACACAGTATAATTAGGGCCGAGTGACCCATTGATTGATAACACAATGTATTTAGCGCCTGGTCAATTGATAACACTGTTATTAGGGCCCAGTGACCCATTGATTGATAACACTATGTATTTAGGGCCCGGTCAATTGATAACAGTGTAATTAGGGCCCAGTGACCCATTGATTGATAACAATAACACTGTATTTAGGGCCTGGTCCATTGATTGATAACACTCTGTATTTAGGCCCTGGGCCATTGATAACACAGTATAATTAGGGCCCAGTGACACATTGATTGATAACACAATGTATTTAGCGCCTGGTCAATTGATAACCCTGTTATTAGGGCCCAGTGACCCATTGATTGATAACATGGATGTTGTTAGGGCCTGGTCAATTGATAACAATGTAATTAGGGCCTATTGACCCATTGATTGATAACACAATGTATTTAGCGCCTGGTCAATTGATAACCCTGTTATTAGGGCCCAGTGACCCATTGATTGATAACACAATGTATTTAGCGCCTGGTCAATTGATAACACTGTTATTAGGGCCCAGTGACCCGTTGATTGATAACACGATGTATTTATGGCCGGGTCAATTGATAACACTGTAATTAGGGCCTATTGACCCATTGATTGATAACCCGATGTATTTAGGGCCCGGTCAATTGATAACAGTGTAATTAGGGACCAGTGACCCATTGATTGATAACATGGATGTTGTTAGGGCCTGGTCAATTGATAACAATGTAATTAGGGCCTATTGACCCATTGATTGATAACACAATGTATTTAGGGCCCGGTCAATTGATAACACTGGAATTAGGGCCCAGTGACCCATTGATTGATAACACTATGTATTTATGGCCGGGTCAATTGATAACACTGTAATTAGGGCCTTTTGACCCATTGATTGATAACACAATGTATTTAGGGCCCGGTCAATTGATAACACTGGAATTAGGGCCCAGTGACCCATTGATTGATAACACAATGTATTTAGCGCCTGGTCAATTGATAACACTGTTATTAGGGCCCAGTGACCCATTGATTGATAACACGATGTATTTATGGCCGGGTCAATTGATAACACTGTAATTAGGGCCTATTGACCCATTGATTGATAACACAATGTATTTAGGGCCTGGTCAATTGATAACACTGTAATTAGGGCCCAGTGACCCATTGATTGATAACATGGATGTTGTTAGGGCCTGGTTCATTGATAGTTATATTAAGCACATTCTATACATACACACAAATTCATGAACTGACAGTAGTTAGCAATTTAAGTAACAAGATTATAATTAAAATTTTGAAGTTGAGATAATGAAAAATAGTACATGTCCTTTGACAAGTATACCACCTGATATTGCTAATGATGGTAAGTTTAACTACTAGCCATTTTTTTGTGAAATTCAAACAATTTTCCTGATACACATCCATGACACTCAATGTGAGGTTGTAGACATTGATTACATAAATTTGGCTGATTCAGAGGTGGCACTATTTTCTAGGTGAGGCAAGTACTATTAATGACAGACTTTCATTTTACAGAACATATATCCAGTTATTGAAGTAAGTGCCTGCAATTTTAAAGGAGGGTTTTGTTTTCTTTATTCTTTTCTTATCCTGATATTGTTTTCATATTGAGGGTAACTTTTTATAAAATCACATCTTCATTGTTGTAAAGAATTAAGGAATATCCAGTTATTTTTTTCCTGGTTTTCCTGTACATACCTGAAAAACTACTCCTTGCTTAAGTCTGCAAAGGAGTTAATGCAAAAAAGTGCAAAGAGTTTCTAAGGTATATACACCAAGAAAAACAAGGAAAAAAATCAAAAGACAAAACAAAGACCTTTTTTCATGAAAAGTTGATAAACATTATTCATATTTGACAAAACAAAACAGAACAAAAACAGTAGCACACATACATTTCTGTGTTATTATTTGACCAATCAGGAAAGAATTATTCACAATGATAGTGTGCCAGTTGTTATTTCGAGGCTAACACTCATAACCTTAAAATATTGTGGAAAAAAAAAAATATTAAACAACATGTTTTTTTGGGGTATTTAAACAAAAAAATGTTGAATGGATGATGTGATTTTAATGGCAGAAATGGAGGAGAGAACTTATTGACAAGGATATGGTTGTTGCTATATTTGAACTTCGACCTTTGACGTTGAGTGGGTGTGGTTTTCCCCCTATCAGATGATTGGTGGATAGGAGGTAGCTACGTCGGATTGTTGAAATGGACATATTTTGTATATAGGCCAGAAATAAATTCAACTTTCACCATTAATCAGATATTTTGAATGAAGGATTTAAAAAAAACAACTTTGGGAGAGCTAGAGGTGGGTCAATCTTGAGACCCTAGGTACAGTGAGTATTGGAAAGTGGTGTTACTTTGTTTATCTGTTGATATTCTAATGGCTGTGGTTAGAACTTTATTTCTCATTTTATGGTATGGTTCCAGTGTGCATGCTATTTGTGTGAGATATGACAGCAAACCGTCCAGTCTGTTATTGGTTCTAGTTTAGGGTGAATAGGTTACTGATCAATGTGGCGTATCAACATTTCGTGAAACACAGATACTGTGACTGTCATAAGTTAGATATCATCATATTCTTTTTCCTGAAACGCATGCTTGCATGACTTAAATTATAAAATGTATACATGTAGATTCTCAATTACTCATTTATTACTTAGTGTTTCATTCATTCATTCATTCATTCATTCATTCATTCATTCATTCATATATTCATTCATTCATTCATATATTCATATATTCATTCATTCATTCATTCATTCATATATTCATGTATTCATTCATTCATTCATTCATATATTCATATATTCATTCATTCATTCATTCATTCATATATTCATATATTCATGTATTCATTCATTCATTCATATATTCATTCATTCATTCATTTTTGTGATTGTTTTTAAAAGTCATTTACCTCAATTAATATATTTGATATTATTATATCTTTTTTTTTTAACAATTCGTTTGATTCATTGATTATTTTATCAGTCATTTGTTAAATCCTCCATTCAGTCAATAATATTACTTACGTATCTAGAATATACTTTGGATTCATTGATTATACAGCAGAGCCTGTCTAAATTGAACCCTGTTTAATAAAAAAACATTTTATTACATCCCAACGATAACAATTTCTGTTAGTTGAATGTGTGTATTGAGGTCCAGATCAATCAGAATATTTAGAATAACAATGCAGCTATGAACTTATTCATCCTTTAAATTATGTATATGCTTGTAAAGGATAAAACTGTTATTCTGTTTAATTCATTCATTCATGTCTTTGTATCTTTTAAGTTAAATTTTACTTATAAATACAAGTAGTTTTACTAATCAGCAGTTAAATTCATGTTATCAATATATATTCACTCATCAGAAATGTTAATTTCTAAGATATTTCAAGCCGAATCATGCCTGACAATTTTTTCAACAGAAATATGAATTGTATACTGACTTCAATTACCTTTTAGTTTATAGAATTTTTCATTTTTCTAATGACCTCTATGTTACCACTTGACCTCTGTAAAATCATATATAATGTTTTCTAATACTGGTACTGACCTTTAATACCAGTGACCTGTGATAATGGTCACACAATGTACATAACTTTGGTTTGACCCTTACTGACCTTTAACACCTGTGACCTTTGATTAGGGTCACTCAGTATATTAAACTTTGGTTTGACCCTTACTGACCTTTAATACCTGTGACCTTTGATCTGGGTCACTCAGTATGTTTAAACTTTGGTTTGACCCTTAATGACCTTTAACACCTGTGACCTTTGATCTGGGTCACTCAGTATATTAAACTTTGGTTTGACCTCTACTGACCTTTAACAGTAAATCCAGGATTCTGAGAGCTTCTGAACTCCTATAATTTCTATTGACAGCCCTGATTGACATTCTCCTGGGGAGTCTATTAGCAGTCTGTATTCTGGCAGTGTCCAGACCCTGATTGACAATCTCCTGGGGAGTCTATTAGCAGTCTGTATTCTGGCTGCGTCCAGACCCTGATTGACATTCTGCTGGGGAGTCTATTAGCAGTCAGTATTCTGGCTGTGTCCAGGCCCTGATTGACATTCTCCTGGGGGGTCTATTAGCAGTCTGTATTCTGGCAGTGTCCAGACCCTGATTGACAATCTCCTGGGGAGTCTATTAGAAGTCTGTATTCTGGCTGTGGCCAGACCCTGATTGACATTCTCCTGGGGAGTCTATTAGCAGTCTGTATTCTGGCTGTGTCCAGACCCTGAAGGATAACCTTGACCCATGAAGTGACCAATCTTATTGTGTTTTCAGGCCAATTCCAGCTTCTTGGTGCTGTCCACACAAAAGGATGTCATAGAACTGGACATTGGTCATCTGTTGGCCCCACCTTCCTGGCTGGAGGATGAAAACGAGATGGACATAGAGTATATCAGAAAGTAGGTCACTGTTGTCATTAGGTCAGTGCTGTTCTTTAGTTCAGCAGATTATTACCACATATACATTAATCATACATTTAACACAAACTAGCTATATATAGACCAATTTAATTTGATAGAGAAAATACTCAAAGGAAATCAGAAAGGTGAATTATTGCCAAGCAGAAAAGATTGAATGTGCTTTTATTTTGTGTTCTGGATAACTTATAGTTATGAAATCTACTTACAGATTTGAATTGAAATATTTAATAAGGAAAACACATGAAATATGATTGGGATGATATAAAACTGCCTTTCTCTGGTTGACAAAATTCCACATATTTATGTCATCAACAGTGCGGCCACAATGCTGCCATCATTTTACATTATGTTGTCATTGCTGTGTTAACTTAGGGTTTTGCCATTATAAGTTGTAGTCCTTCAGCTAGAATTAAGATTTATTTAATATAGCACCTGGAACAAAATCCCACAATGCTTGTAAAATCCGACAAAACTTCTAAAATATCCCTGATGATTGATTTTGCCATGATTACAGCCCCAACCCTTCGGAGGGGAGCAGTACGGACTTCTTTGTGGTACAAGCCCCGTCCGACAGTCAACAGAGTGGACTGACTTCAGGAATGTCTAGTCCGCAAACAGGGGCGTCCACCCCCACACACCCTGGATCTGGGGTCTTCTCACAGACTGGCAGGGGCACTAATGTGGTAAGTCGTTATAGATGGTTGAGAATGGATGTAACCTTTTAAGTGCCCCAACTTTTCTATATCATAACTTCATCCCTGTTTTAGTTCCTAAATGCAAATTCTTCAGCACAAAACATGGCAAGTGTCGACCAAAACTTTAGCATATTGATTAGCCGTCAGCCTAAAGACCTAAAAGACAAAGTTTCTTTCTAGCCCTACTTTGTATGATAGACTGGTACTTAATTTAACATCTTCTTTCCTCCCAGTCTATTCTCCCAAGCATTAAAGCCTATTGCTTTGTGATCCCTGGCTGAACCAGAGTCCCATACAGGCTTAGCTTTATCATACCTCAAGTTTGAGGTTCAAGTTGGCATTGAAAAGAGAGAACCAGAATGCTTCTTTGAAGCCATCACAGCTGTAGTATTAGTTAATACAACAACCACACTAGATGTTGATGTTTGTCAAATGTAGAATTACGATCTCATTCAGACATTATATGTATTGGGTAGTCACAGAAATATCGGGGTCGGTTATCTTATGTTTTATTATTTATTTTGATTGAATGAAATATTTGACGTATTTCTTAAGATATTTAATTTCAAACATGTTGCAATTTAATTGTATGGCAATTTTGAGCACATTTCCCTGTTTATTTGACTGAATGATTATATCTGCAAACTAATAACATTCTTTTTATGTGTTTTATTATGCTTGAGTTCATCTGAAATTAATCATTAAAGACAGTGGAGTGTCCACTTTGATGCTTCATTAGCAATGAAGAATGTAATTTTTTAAGGAATAAATCCTTAGGTTGTGTAATAAATCCTTAGTGTAATAAATCCTTAGGTTGTGTAATAAATCCTTAGTGTAATAAATCCTTAGGTTGTGTAATAAAGGATAAACACTTACTTGCTCTGATACTTGAGTCTTTAAACCTGTAACAAGAGGCAACATTTTCAAGGGTGTAGCCACTATGTGTTATAAAGACATGATTGTAAGAAGAAACAACCTCAAGGTAACACTGATTTTATTGGTTGTCTTTTTAAAGATTCTGCCTTCCTTTAACCTCTGAGTATTTATGTCCAATGTACAAAGTAAAACCTATACACGATAATCCAGAACCTGTAATCCTTAGATAATATATAGAACATTTAGCACATATTGAATTCCCTTGTGATCTATTTTTTAGATGAAACATCATCTAAAACTTGAGGTAAAGTTTAACACGGTGTTCTAGTGTGATTTCTGTGTGACGTATAGTGAATTAGCTCTCTTAACTTCAAATCTGGCATTCTCATTAAAACGTTAACTCCAGTATCAGATGTTCGATATCATTCTCCTTGTTTAGCTCAAAGTATTTAGGATATGGAAAAGGCTTAAAGCATGTATTTGAGACTGTTTCCAACCTTTGAAGTGATAGCAATACTAATAGGCATACTTGCCATAGTCACCTGCATTTTCACTGGTCAACCAGGAAATGACCTCTGACCTATACAGATCGTAGTACATTGACCTCTGACCTGTACAGATCGTAGTACATTGACCTCTGACCTGTATAGATCGTAGTAATTTGACCTCTGACCTGTACAGATTGTAGTACGTTGACCTCTAACCTGTACAGATCATAGTACATTGACTTCTGACCTGTACAGATCATAGTACATTGACCTCTGACCTGTACAGATCATAGTACATTGACCTCTGACCTTTGCAGATCGTAGTACATTGACCTCTGACCTCTGACCTGTACAGATCATAGTACATTGACCTCTTACCTTTACAGATCATAGTACATTGACCTCTGACCTGGACAGAGCGTAGTACATTGACCTCTGACCTCTGACCTGTACAGATTGTAGTACGTTGACCTCTAACCTGTACAGATCATAGTACATTGACCTCTTACCTTTACAGATCATAGTACATTGACCTCTGCCCTTTACAGATCGGAGTACATTGACCTCTGACCTCTGACCTGTACAGATTGTAGTACATTGACGTCTAACCTGTACAGATTGTAGTACATTGATCTCTGACCTGTACAGAGTGTAGTACATTGACCTCTGACCTGTACAGATTGGAGTACATTGACCTCTGACCTGTACAGATCGTAGTACAATGACCTCTGACCTGTATAGATCGTAGTAATTTGACCTCTGACCTGTACAGATTGTAGTACATTGTCCTCTGACCTCTGACCTGTACAGATCATAGTACATGGACCTCTGACCTTTACAGATCATAGTACAATGACCTCTGACCTTTACAGATCATAGTACAATGACCTCTGACCTTTACAGATCATAGTACATGGACCTCTGACCTTTACAGATCATAGTACATTGACCTCTGCCCTTTACAGATCGGAGTACATTGACCTCTGACCTCTGACCTGTACAGATCATAGTACATGGACCTCTGACCTTTACAGATCATAGTACATTTACCTCTGACCTTTACAGATCGTAGTACATTGCCCTCTGACCTATACAGATCGTAGTACATTGACCTCTGACCTTTACAGATTGTAGACATTGACCTCTGACCTCTGACCTGTACAGATCATAGTACATGGACCTCTGACCTTTACAGATCATAGTACAATGACCTCTGACCTTTACAGATCATAGTACATTTACCTCTGACCTTTACAGATCGTAGTACATTGCCCTCTGACCTCTGACCTGTACAGATTGTAGTACATTGTCCTCTGACCTCTGACCTGTACAGATCATAGTACATTGACCTCTGACATTTACAGATCATAGTACATTGACCTCTGACCTTTGCAGATCGTAGTACATTGACCTCTGACCTCTGACCTGTACAGATTGTAGTACATTGTCCTCTGACCTCTGACCTGTACAGATTATAGTACATTGTCCTCTGACCTCTGACCTGTACAGATCATAGTACATTGACCTCTGAGCTTTACAGATCATAGTACATTGACCTCTGCCCTTTACAGATCGGAGTACATTGACCTCTGACCTCTGACCTGTACAGATTGTAGTACGTTGACCTCTAACCTGTACAGATCATAGTATATTGACTTCTGACCTGTACAGATCATAGTACATTGTCCTCTGACCTGTTCAGATCATAGTACATTGACCTCTGACCTTTGCAGATCGTAGTACATTGACCTCTGACCTCTGACCTGTACAGATTGTAGTACGTTGACCTCTAACCTGTACAGATCATAGTACATTGACCTCTGACCTGTACAGATTGTAGTACATTGACCTCTGACCTCTGACCTATACAGATTGTAGTACATTTTAGAATCTCCTACATTTGCACTACTTGTCACAAAATGGAAAATGTTTAAAAAGTCACTTTTTTCAATTTTAAAGCTTTAACTATTAATATACTCCTTAGGAAACAAAAACTAGTGATTTAAAATGTAGATTTTAATAGCTGACGTGTCATACAATTGATTTGATTAGTTTGAAGAGCTGAAATACTGAAATTAACTGAAATGAACAGGCTTTGACTTTCATTTTAACCATGTATGACCTTCATTCCATTGTTGGTAGCTAGGAGTACTTAGATCTTAACAAGGAGAAAGAAACTGACATTACTTAGTGGAGTTATACTGTTATTTTAGTTAGATTGTCCTTTATGTATCTCATCACAGCCCATACTCCGATTGTCACAATATCCTCAGACTCGACACCATCTCTGATCGTTGTTAAATGAGGTCACTAGTAGTTCTTCAATTCTGATTGGTCAATGTTTGTTACATGATAAATATATTTATAGATATAACCTTCAAACTATTACAATAAAAATTGCCTGCCCTCCTTTTGATAAGTTAGCTGATTTAAACAAACATTTATGCATTGTATTAATTTTCTTAAACATATGAAACTGTCATCTGGGGGTGAATTTTCTAGAAACCAAAAATTAAAACAAAAGAGGTAAGTAAACAAATAAGTGATTTATGAAGTGTTACCCTATGTAACATTGACTCTAACGCATTTAACCTGAACTCTTGAAAAAGTAGGTCGCTGTGACAGCTATAAAAGTATCTCCATAAAACACCTTGTCTTTGTTTTAAAGTACACAATCAATTTATTCAAAGGCCATTTGGTGGTAAGTGGTTGAACAGGAAAAACAAGTGGAAGTCATCATAAATACTAGATTCCAAAAGTTTTCGGTTGAAGTTATATAATTTGATAAAGAAATCATCCACACTTTAAATAAGGATAAACTTTGCTAGTTTGATATGCATCCTGTATCACTTAGGCAGAATCTTGTAAAACTATTTTATTTATCAGTCTTTGCCTACCTGCTGTCACAACTGACCGTTATATTGTGTGTGGACATTTATGACTCTTCCCGTCACTGAGTGTGCATATTTAAGGATACTTGTCTATCAAATATTAAACTTAACCCTTTCCACGAATGGTTATATGGTATCACAATTTGTTGTGCTGCTTCACTAAAACCATTGTAATCTATGCATACAGTATCAAAATGTATGTTCTGATGATGGATTTTACTAAATAATATGCCTGAATTAGTCAGTCTTTCACGGTTTGGGTATTGAATTAAAAACGTCGTCTTTTCCAAAGTGATTTCTATAATTCAATTCATCTTTTCAAACTTTGGCTCTTCAACTCAATAGTCACACTGAAGTTAAACTTTTGAATCTAGAATTTAACAGTTAAACTCAATATAGCAGTCACTCTTTCAGACTTTGAGCCAATAATTCTACAGTCCTCCTTTTATACTTTCAATCTAGAATTCAAAATGCCACTTTTTCAACTTTAGCCATAGAATTCAATAGTCAAAGTTAAGTATGAAGCTTTGACTTTAAAAATTCAAAATGACGTTTTCAATCTGTGACTTTAAAAACTAAATTGTCACACTTTCCATCATTTACTGGTAGTCCATAATTGAAATGGGTAACAGTTCATTGCTCTATTCCAGATATCAAGCCACACTTTGGCTCTGTATTCTAGGTTTAGTTTTGTACACTCTGATTGTACATGTAGGTTCTCCCTGTATCTATGATAACTTTAACAACTTGATTGACTGAAACGGCTCTCAAATTATTGTTTTTTTTCTTTCTCATTATTTTGTTTAATGAAACTGCTCTCAAATTATTTTCTTTCATTATTTTTTTTTGCCTGATTAGATCTTTTTAACATTTGTATGCCTTATAAATTTCAAATATAATAATTTTGGGATTTGATTTTCAATCCATGAGAAAGTAATTCTGTATATCTGATTTGTTAAATGTTGTTGTATGCATGTGATGAACTAACAGATTGGTACAGACATCTTTACACAGTACGGAACGTCGGAGGAAGGTCAAGAGTGAATGTACAAATGATATGGGGATATGATTTAAATTCAATGTTCATAGATTAAAATAACTATTTTTTTCAGTAAAAGGAGCATGTTGAATTTAATATTATTTGTGATAATTGATGAGAAGCTTCAAAGCTTGTGATGAAAAAATTCTGTATGAACATCAATCTTCATGCATTTATTTACTCGTTCATATGTATACTATACCATCAAACAACAAAAGGTTATGATTATGGGTATGAATTGTTGATATAAACTTCTGGATGCACAAATATTTGTGAAGTGGTACTTTAAAATTTTGAAGAAAAAATCCACTGTTTGAAAATTTTCACATAATTTACCGGTATAATTTCACAGCATTTCGATTAGGATGGGAAAGTGAATTATTATGGTTTTCCTTCTGCAAATAATAAAACAAAAGTCAATATATGTATAAAGATGAGAGCTTCATACTGGATTTTATATATTCTAAGAAAATATTTTATTCCAGAATTTTTTGTGTTAGCTTTGGTGGGCTAAATTATGTATTACTGGTGGATTAAATTTTGGATTTATAGGGGCTGCAGAACCACATCTAAAAATAACTTGTTTCAGCTAGATGTATTAATTTAGCATTTGGCTAACTGGAGTGGTATTTACTTATAAATGGTAATTTTGTGAATTAGTTTTGTATTAAAAAAAATAATATCTATGCTTTAAAAGAAAAAAGGGTCAGAAACAATTATCTGGTTTTAATTGGTTAGTTGTAATCTTATGGGCAGTCTTTGTTCTGTGGTGCCTACACAAAGTGTATCGTTTTTAACATTACACTGATAATGTACTGTTTGCATACTGCCTGCTTGTACTGACAAGTGCTTCGTGTTCGACTCTGCACTGACTTTGTACTGATCTAGCTGTGAACTGGTATAGGTTTTCTTTGACCGCACTCATTTTACAATGAATTCATGCAAATTGTGTACAGTATACCTGTATACATGTACAGTATACCTGTATACATGTACTTCATGCTTCACTCTGCATTGGCATTGTACTGATTATGTACTGCTTGTTTTGACCTGTACTTCCCTGACTATACTGACACTGTACTGAATGTGTACTGCTTGTTTTGACCTGTACTTCCCTGACTATACTGACACTGTACTGGTTATGTACTGCTTGTTTTGACCTATACTTTCCTGACTACATTGACATTGTACTGATTCTGTAATGCCTATATGGACCTATACTTCTGTGACTGCTGGTACTGTGCTGATTTTGTACTGCCTGCTCTAAACTATACAAGTACTTCCTTGACTATGCTGACTCTATACTGAATGTCTACTGCCTGCTATGACATATAAGGCCTGTAGTGACCTGTGACTGTGCTGCTTTTGTACTGTCTACTTTAACCTATACTTCTGCAACTATATTGACACTATGCTGATTGCTTACTGCCTGCTCTTACATGTACCTGTGACTTACACTGACACTGTGCTGATTTTGTACTGCATGACTTGTGACTTACACTGATGACAATGTACTGATTTTCTACTGCCTGCTCTGATGTGTACCTGTGTCTACACTGACAGTGTACTTATTTTTTACTGCATGACTTGTGACTTTACTGACATTGTACTGATTTTGTACTGCCTCTACTGATACATGTTTTCTGTGTGGGGTCTGTCAGGGTAAGGGTATCCACATCCCTGGCATCACAAACCCACAGTTTTCTCAGCACGTTTTGGACCGGAGTCGGCGTCTTCTCAGATCGGTATGTTTTTTTCCCATCTACGAGATCTGCCCTGGTCATGTGACTTCACACGCTGTTGTTTTGTTTCATAAGTGTAAGCATTTTAATTTTTTAATAAGATGATAATTCCTGTATGAGATTCAAATATACAATGTAGCAAATGATCAGAGGATGTGTCCAGGTTTAATTGGATGGTGTGTCTAATTTGATTATGATGAAACACCTAGAAGGGTGAGATTTGAGTTAGCTGACATCTCTGGTAGAATGATTTCCTGAGCATTGAGTATGATAAACTATTCAGCTGAATGAGGTCTCCAAATAGATAAAATTGAAGTTGGTAAAGGTGTCAAGATAAATGATGTTTAAGTTAGATAAATGACGTTTAAGTTAGATGAGGTGTCTTGTCAACGGAAGGATGAGTTAGACAAGATGTTCAACTAGATGCTTAGATTGATTCCAAGTCTATAGCTAGATAAAGTTTGAGGTAGACAAACTGTCTTTTTAGATACAGTTTTAGAAAGTAATTCAATTGGAGTTTAGTCCAGTTGTATGAAGGTGGAGTTGAATTAGGTGTCTTTGTAGATTAAGTGTGATCTACACAGCAGATGACTTGTATTAGGTAAAGTAACTTAGTAAGAATTGGTTGAGGTGGCAGCCGTGTTGAAGTTAAATGAAGTTGGATTACATTAATTGTGTCATTCCATATAATGAGAGTTGTAGGAGGTGTGTCTGATAAGAAGAAATGTAAGTTAGAAGAGGTGTACAGTTATATGAAGCTGTAGTTGTATGATGAGTATCAAGTGTCTATTTTAAGGAATTCGGAGTCAGTGGAGTTGTACATGTAGATAAATCTAGAAATTTCTGGGAAAGATAAAGTTTCCAGTGTCCAGTTAGAACCAACAGCTGTGTGAAGGTGATGTCACTGACCAGGGCTGACTGTTGTATGGTGATGTTGTAACCTTGTGTATCCCTCCACTGCATCCTTCTGTCTTCCGTCCTGATCACCAGGAATACTGCCCTCAGTAATTTTGTTATCTGTGAGTCTATGTTGACAAAATATTGTTTTGTGCATATTTTGTTGTTGTGCTTGTACGATTTGCATTTATTTCAGAATGTCTATTTTAAGTTTATTTTTTGATGTTTGAGGCGACAACAGTGCACACCCTGGTATATAACTATATCTGAACACTGATCGTGATTCTGGGTGACATTGCAGTACCATGGTGAATTGTTAAGCTAGAACAGAGGAACAATGATCACTTTTGAAGGGTTCGTGATAAAACAAGGAGATTAATTAGATAAAGAAAATTATATTATTTCTGAAAAGATGAATAACCAAAATTACATGTAAAATAAATGAGTCATCCCAGGAAAATCTGCCGTTTAGTTCCAACCAAAGTTACATGTAAGTCTCTAAAAGTGGCAATAAAATGTAAACATTTATAGTAGTTTTGATGAAAATCACATGCAAGTATAATAAAGATAAGTAGCTTAAGTTATCAAAGTTACAAGCAAATGTAGGAACCCCCCCCCACAGCAAATCTAGTAAAAATCATAAGAAAATGTCAAGAAAAATCATGAGCAATTCTAGAAGCTATGAATCACAGGCTAATCAAGTAAAACCCACAAGCAAAATTAAATAAAAAATATGAACAAATGTTATAAAAACCATAAGAAAATTAACTAAAGATCACAGGAATGTCTTGTTAGAATCACATGTAAAATCGTTTAAAATTTGCAGGGAAATCTTGTAAAGTAACAAGGAAACCTGAGAAAAATCACCAGGAAATACAAGAAAAATAACAAGGAACACTAAGAAAAATCACAAAGAAATCTTACAAAAATCACGATAATTTTTAAAAGAAAATACTCATAAGCAGATATAATAAAAATCACAAGAAATGTAATAAAAAATCTTAACAATATCCAGTACAAATCACAAGAAAATTTTGTAGATTTTGCAAGAAAATCTAATGAAAATTAAACATCAGAAGCAAATCTAATGAAAATCACATCCATATCTTGTCAGCATTGCAAGCAAATCCTGTAAAATTCACAAGCTTATTGAAAAAACCCAGCAGATATTATCAGAATAATCTAACAAAAATTACGAACAAAATAATTAGCAAATCTCAAAATAAATCACAAGCAACTGAAAAAATAATCACAAGACAGTTATATACGATTTACAAAAAAAACACAGGAAGAATAAAATTCTCAAACTAATATAACAAAACATAAACACAAATCTAATAAAACTTCCTTTTGAAAATGCTTTCATTGAAGCCTTAAAATTCAAATTTACAACCCAGTTCTAAAATAAAGGGAGCACCCGTTATAGTCATCTGAGTGACATGTACTTACGTTTCAACAACTTATGTTTGTATATCATGCTCGACCGTGTATTATCCAGGGATGACTGGCTGATCAATTTAAATCGTGTATCATCCAGGGATGACTGGCTGATCAGTTTAAATCGTGTATTATCCAGGGCTGACTGGCTGATCAATTTAAAGCGTGTATTATCCAGGGATGCCTGGCTGATCAATTTAAATCGGGTATTATCCAGGGATGACTAACTGATCAATTTAAGTCGAGTATTATCCAGGGATGACTGGCTGATAAATTTAAATCGTGTATTAACCAGGGATGACTGGCTGATAAATTTAAATCGTGTATTATCAAGGGATGACTGGCTGATCAATTTTAATTGTGTATTATCCAGGGAGGACTGGCTGATCAATTTAAAGCGTGTATTATCCAGGGATGCCTGGCTGATCAATTTAAATCGTGTATTATCCAGGGATGACTGGCTGATCAATTTAAATTGTGTATTATCCAGGGATGACTGGCTGATAAATTTAAATCGTGTATTATCCAGGGATGACTGGCTGATCAATTTGAATCGTTTAAGCTCACAAATTCAAGCTCCCAGAAACCAAGTGTAGTAAACTGTAGACTAACGTGGACTTTCAGTGTTTACGTATGGTGTATCAGGTTATGCACTGGTACCTCAGACACACCGTACAGTCTGTGTATTTAGATGATTTCTGGGTGTTGTTCTGTGTACTTGTTTTGGTTTATGTATTGTGTACATTTTCTCCTGATTTTAGTTGTTTTTGATAAACGCTTGCTTTGTTGGGTCAGTATTTAGTCCTGTACAAACTATACACTGTTTTATGTTTCAGTATATTGATATTATTGATGATTACTGCTCATTTTATGTCGTTAAATAAGGAAGTTAATTCTTAGATTAGTTATCTCTGAGTAGAGTTCAGTTGGTGATTTTCTGCTTTAATATCATTATTTTTTGTTGAAAGCAAGGACAGAATTTACAATATAGATTAAAAAACAAATGTATCTTCAAGTTATTTTCAAGCATGGTAAACCTGCAGCTGCTAACATTTTCAACATGCTATGAATATACAGGTATGTCATCTAATTGTTGATGGAAATACATGGAATAGTTCAACAGTAAACAAGATTCTTTCCATGAAAATATCTACTTTAACTGAATGGCAATATTTTTTTTTATTTTTTTTATTTGGAATGTGTTGCAATGGTTGTTTAAACAATAAAATTATGTATGTTGATGCATGGTCATTGTTTTCTGATTGGCTGCTGATTTTTTTTTTTTTTTAATTGTAACCTGGTACAAGATAGTTATCATCCTGTGTTAATCAATTACAGTAGAAATATGATTGTCTTATTTGTTTTTTGTATATTTTTCTCTTGAACTTACTTGCTCTTACATACATTGTCCAGAAATAACTTAATTATAAAAAAACTATATTGAATTGTAGAAGTGGCACCTGTTTTTTATAGGACTTTTTTGAAGATATGATGATAATTACCGATAAATCAACATTATGGTACCAGACAAATTTAGATTAATGATAAAGTTGTTTGCCTTTAATAAGAAAGAGTCAGTGTGCCAGAATATATATAAAAAAAACCAACTGCAATAGGAATTTGGAGATTGTTGAGTCTTCTGAAAGTATGTGGGAGTCTGCTGTTTTAGTTACATCATCTACCCCTTATTTATAGTTTGAATTACATGTACTAATTTATTCTATGCCTGCATGAAGAATGATGTTATATCTTTTTTTTATAAAGAATTGTACAGCTACTTTTAAAACTTTATTTCAGCTGCAACATTCTACATATTATTTAGAGTTTTTATTTAGTTTATGTATTTTGTATCTACCTTGTTTGGTATTGTTTGTGAAATGTATTTGAGGAATCTTTTTATGGTGAAATTATTGTGTATAGATATGTTTTATAGCTGGAGTGATATTAATACAAATGTTTGTACTTTTTCATATAAATATGTTAATGTGTTTTTATTTGTGTGGTTATAAACATTTTATTGATAATTCATTTCAGACTTATGTCTTATTATCTTTTTATATTTTAAGGATTCTATACTTACCAAAATAATAAAGATTTTAAGTTGACTCTTGAATTTTATTACTGGTATATTAGAAAAAGAATTTATTAATTCTTTTCTGGCTAATGGGTATGGATGTTTAAATACAGGCACATGCTACCAATGTTTTCATTAATAGTAGATTGAACAATGATTTTTAATTCTTTAATTCTTTATATAGTGGTAAAATGAAAGATTTTGAATATGTTAGATTCTATTTTTACTTTATGAACAAGTGTTACTGACATTATGAAATGGTCTTCTATTACAGTTGCTGCGCCGACCTGTGTCTGGAGTTAGGCGAATAGGATCCCATCCTAACCTTCCACATTGTAAGTTTCACAATAAACCTGTTTGAATTACTTAACTGTTTAATTCAAATGATTTGGAAATACTGACGCACTATAATTTGTAACACATTTTTCACTGTCAAATTTGATTACCTAACTGTTGCATGTTTTGTTGCTGTCCGATTTTATTGCCTAACTGTTGTCATGATTTCCATTGGCTAGACCTGACAGGAGGATCGGATGGCAGCGTCAGACTCTATGAGTGGGGGCATGTCCAGCCACTGGCCATGCTTAGACAACCAGGAGTGTTTCCTAAAGTCACCAAAGTCCAGTTTAGTTCCCAAGGAAACAAGGTAAGCACAGTTACAAGGTGTTCCATGAAATGCAATAAAGGTGACAAGTGTTGTAATTTGTCAATTATGCACTTAACTAGGATATATCACTAATCTGGTCAAGTTGTCCCGGAATATTCCACTGATCTAGGTTTTAGTTGAACATGTTGTACTTAGTGTTATGTTACTTGTTCCAGTGCTGTGTCAGCGATACGGAGGGGGACATCTGTCTGTGGCAGGTCGGACTCGGCAGTAACTTCAACAAACCCATCATGGTAACACACACATAGATCTTAACTGAGTTTCATTTTAAATGAGATTGATCAAATGAGTTTGGAAGTTTTCAATTTAGCAGTGCTATTCGAAACTAAAATCTAAGCATTGTGACATTTTCCATCAGTCTCATTTGAAATGGAAATTAGTTGAAAATACATTTTACTCAGCACTTGAGGAAAAAGGGCTACTGTTTCACAGGCCGAATGACAAGATCACGTTTACAAATGTCCATTTGGTAAACCAAAGTGTTTTGAAAAATCAGTTTCTCTGAAAGTAATATGTCTCAGATATAAATGCCTTGTATAGCCTCAAGAGTAAATCATTGTAAATAAGAAACTGATCATAAAAACCTTGTATGTAATTTGCACTGTGATATAAGTTGCATGAGTGAATTTTTGTTGCAATTTTTGTTGGAAAAATTATATAAATTACTTGAGATGTTCATGTTACATTTTATAGGGTGACTATTGTGTTGTTTTCATTATATACAGACGGGTTGTTACTTTTAATCGTCAATATTTGTTTACAGAAACTCAGATGTCATAACAAGACGACCAGTGACTTTGCATTTGTGGGGTCCTCTAGTCTGATAGCCACAGCCGGTCACTCCTCAGAAAGCCGCAATGTATGCCTGTGGGACACCTTACTCCCCCAGCGGAGTGCCTGTGTGCATGGTCAGTCCCAAGCTGTTTGTCCATTCTATCAGATCTTGTTCCCCACTTTATACTGCGCTATATTTTGCCCACTTTGTATGGAGTATGTACCCCACTATATATCGAGTTACAGACCTTTTTCATTTAATGTTTTTCACCTAAGTTTGTCCAAAGTTGGTTGGTTGTGGATAGCTTACAACACTTGTCTTATTTCTTATTAATAAGTCCTCCGAGGTTTGTTATTAGCATGTTTTACTGTTTAGATTGCTAATTGATTACAATGTACTAGTATTGTGCATCCATGACCTTTACTTTGTTTGACCTTTAAAGCATTTACCTGTCATAACCTTTACTTTGTTTGACCTTTAAAGCATTTACTGGTCATAATCTTAACTTTGTTTGACCTTTAAAGCATCTACCTGTCATAACCTTACTTTATTTGACCTTTAAAGCGTTTACTGGTCATAATCTTAACTTTGTTTGACCTTTAAAGCATTTATCTGTCATAACCATTACTTTGTTTGACCTTTACAGCGTTTACCTGTCATGAACATGGCTGTCCTGCGATAGTGTACGCCCCTCACCACCAGCTCCTGATCAGCGGGGGACGCAAGGGCGAAATCTGTATCCTCTTATGTAATATACAACAACTTAAGGAAGTTTTTGAAAAAATCATTAGAGCGTAAATCCTTTCATTTTATATACAACTTGAGCAAGATTAAAAAAAACCAACACTATTGAATAATACAAATTAAATAATCTTCAGCAAGCTGTTAAGTTCACCATGCTTTAAAGTGTGATGGGGCAGGATAAAAGTGGTTAATATGGCAATAGGTACAGATGAAGTTGATGAAGTGTGCTGTGGCTCTGAGGTAAGATGGGGTTTGTATATAATTCGTCTGACAGCTATTGCTTATAAACAGACACAGAATCCTATTTAATGATGGTGTAGCCATATAGATAATGATAGTGTAGCCATATAGATAATGATAGTGTAGCCATATAGATAATGATGGTGTAGCCATATAGATAATGATATGGGGTAGTCATATAGATAATGATGGGGTAGCCATATAGATAATGATATGGGGTAGTCATGAAGTGGCACTAACAGTAATCTTAAAGAGTAACCATGTAGAATTGCCATTAAGAAACATACTTCCAACATTTCTATAACATGAAAGTAAAAAGAAGTCCACGACTCCTGAAGCCTGTTTTTCTTTTCACAACTTGTTGTGTGGAGAATTACATATGTCACTTTGTCTTTATATCTGTGTTGTTAATGGATTGAAAGTTGTGAAACTTTTTAATAGTATTATCCCAGTCAGGGTTATGTGCCTTTTATATGGAAAGTTGTGTACTCCTTGACTTGAGTTCAGGTATATTTGACATCCGACAGAGACAGATACGTCACACATTCCAGGCCCACGATTCTGCTATCCGCTGTCTGGCTATCGACCCGGAGGAGGAGTACTTTGTGACAGGGTCTTCAGAGGGAGACATCAAGGTACGACCTGCAGGACCAGTAGAATCCTTTATTAACTGATCTGGTCCCATTTTAACTTACCTGGCTCACTAGTAGTTCACCTTGTCCCTTATTTACTTGATTTCTTATGAACTAAAATTACCTTTTATCAATTCACCTGACATATTTCATCACACCTGGTCTTTTAACACATCTAGCTTCTTAGTAAATAATTCATAAACTAATGTTAAAAAATAACCTTGAAACACTAAGTGACTTGTTGAAATGCAAAAAATTGCCAAAACAATTGAAAGAAAGTACGACATTTAAGAAGATACATTAACTTTATCTAGTTTCATGGATTTGCATTAAATATATCCTGGTAGTGCAGATTCAAGTTTGTACAAAAATTAGTCACTGCTTTTGATTTTTAATCAGGGCTAGAAATCATTAATATTGTTTTCAGCTACACAGTTAAAAATGTTAAACATATACATCTACATAGGGTCATATTATCAGTCATAGAAGTATTTCTAGGTCAAAATAATTCACATTTTTTTCAGTATTTGTACCTTGTATGAAGTGTTTTAGGTACAATTCACTGATATGATAACAGTTACAAGACATTCATGGTAAAAGACATTAATACAATTTATTTTTATATGCTAGGTATGGGGCCTGGACGTTCACCAGATGGTCGTAGGCTTCCCTGGAGAACACAGCAAGAGCACATTCTTCAGAAACATGGGGGCGGCGTCAGGTGTCACACAAGTTTCCATTGGATCTACGCATCACATGTTCTCATGTGGAGTTGACGGGTCAATGAAGTTTCGGGCCTTACCGGAGCGTGACACGATTGTGAGATATTGGTCTGCTACCTAGTCAAACAATGCTCTTGTGACCTCTATGGTACGAATTGACCTGTCTCCATGGAGATTGACGTTGCCATGGAGATGCTGGATTAGTCTGCCACATCACTATGTGACTAAAAATGGATCAGGAAATGGATTTTGTTTTGCCAAGAAAGAAGTTGTCATGCTTCCACATTGCACGTTTATTTTGAATTTTGATATGTTACAAGGGTACAATTGTTTTATACTGTTGAATTTTCTCATAAAAGTGATTCTTTGTTTTGTTTTGAATTTGTTTTGAATTGGCTGATACTTGAGTAATATCTGGTACAGATTTTGTTTTGTTATTTAAGAGATTTGGATGGACACATTAATCAGCATTGAGGAAATAATAACAGCTAATACTGACAACAGGTTAACAGTTTGTTTTGCTTAAATTATTGTAAGCAACAGTTTACTCTTACCCAATAAGTCACAGAAAATTGAAGAGAACCCTCACCAAACTGTTGAAAACGTGTAGCTGGAAGGAAATCATTAGGAACTGAGAGTTACGATGGAACTGTAGAGAAACCACATATAACTAGAGGGAAACCTGAGGGAACTTTCAGAAACCACCCACCTTTCATGAAACCATACAATTGTAAAGTGTAACTGCATAAGTGGAGGGAAACAGTATGAAAGTGGATGGTAACCACCGAGAACTGTATAGAAACTGATTTTATGTATAGGGAAACTAGTTGTAACTAAGGGGAACTAGAGGAAAACACACAGATAGCTGGAGGGAAACTAGTTGTAACTAAGGGGAACTAGAGGAAAACACACAGATATCTGGAGGGAAACTAGTGGTAACTAAGGGCAACTAGAGGAAAACACACAGATAGCTGGAGGGAAACTAGTGGTAACTAAGGGCAACTAGAGGAAATCACAAAGATAGCTGGAGGGAAACTAGTGGTAACTAAGGGGAACTAGAGGAAACCACATAGATAGCTGGAGGGAAACTAGAGGTAACCAAGGGGAACTAGAGGAAACCAAACATATAGCTGGAGGGAAACAATAGGTAACCAAGGAGAACTAGAGGAAACCACACAGACATCCGGAGGGAAACTAGAGGTAACCAAGGGGAACTAGAGGAAACCAAACATATAGCTGGAGGGAAACAATAGGTAACCAAGGAGAACTAGAGGAAACCACACAGACAGCCAGAGGGAAACTAGAGGTAACCAAGGGGAACTAGAGGAAACCACACAGATAGCTGGAGGGAAACTAGAGGTAACCAAGGGGAACTAGAAGAAACCACAAAGATAGCTGGAGGAAAACAAGTTGTAAATAAGGGGAACTAGAGGAAATCACACAGATAGCTGGAGGGAAACTAGTGGTAACTAAGGAGAACTAGAGGAAACCACACAGACAGCCGGAGGGAAACTAGAGGTAACCAAGGGGAACTAGAGGAAACCACAGATATAGCTGGAGGGAAACTAGTGGTAACTAAGGGGAACTAGAGGAAACCACGCAGATAGCTGGAGGGAAACTAGAGGTAACCAAGGGGAACTAGAAGAAAACACAAAGATAACTGGAAGAAAACAAGTTGTAAATAAGGGGAACTAGAGGAAACCACACAGATAGCTGGAGGGAAACTAGGGGTAACTAAGGGGTACTAGAGGAAACCACACTGATAGCTGGAGGGAAACTAGTGGTAACTAAGGGGAACTAGAGGAAACCACACAGACAGCCGGAGGGAAACTAGAGGTAACCAAGGGGAACTAGAAGAAAACACAAAGATAACTGGAAGAAAACAAGTTGTAAATAAGGGGAACTAGAGGAAACCACACAGATAGCTGGAGGGAAACTAGTGGTAACTAAGGGGTACTAGAGGAAACCACACAGATAGCTGGAGGGACAACATGAATCTTACCTCCTCTTCTAAATAGATGTAAGGGGGAGACAAACATGTCACAAGATTCCATGTGGGAGAAGGGACTCATTTCTTTTACAGAATTAGTAAAATGATTTTAGAATAACTTTTTGAAAATAATGTTCAAGTTCAGAATAACATATGCTGTTATAAAACAAAGATGTTGACCAGGTTTTATTTTCAGGCAAATTCTGAACTATGATAATTCTGATTGAAACCCAACAGTACATTCATTTAAGAAGGTTATAGGAATTGGGAGATTTCCTGTGTAGCTAATTACTAGGTGTTAAGGAGAGGAAGAAAGAAAGTAATTTGTGCAGAATTGAAGAAAAAAGGGTTCAGATGTATGTTTTTGAGGTCTTTTGTTTTGAAGTGTTTGTGGTATCTTTATTTGTAAAGTTTGTAGTGGAGGAACAAGTGGTTTTAGCACGGGTAATTAAGTGATGTTGGCGGTGTTCAGCTTCTAGTTGATCACACCTATAGGGTTATATTCATGGGACTCAAGTAAGATTGAAGTAGAACAATGAGGTTAATATAAATAATTTTTAACCCTGTGTAAATATTATATACATTACAGGTTCATGTATAAACTGTTTTTCAGTCTTTAAGAATATGAGAATAAATGTGTCTAAATGAGAAAGCGTGATGTTAATTGTAAGATAGGTATAATTTGGTATTGCATTGAAATATACATTTGTATGCTCAAAGACAGGTTCTAATCCTGTCACCTGGTTAAAAGGTCTCTGTTATTCAAGTTTATATTGTGTCTAGGACTTGTATAAAGATGGACGTCTAGAGACAAAAACCTAAGCTAGAATTCAGTTGCACAAATGTAGTAAATCATGCATTCTGTAAAATGTTTAATGATGAAATGTTTCATCATAGTCATTGTGCAGTGGTGTATTCTCCTTTTTGACAGGGCTGTCACTTTAAATGTATTCATCTGATAAATATGCATGCTGACATGGAAATTATCCCTCCAATAGTCCCAGTATATGGGTCAAGGTAATTTTACAGGTCTGTTTCCAGTTGGCCGTACTGAAGTGATGATTGCGTGGTTATATTGTAATTTTCATTGAGGAAATTGTACATAACATTTTGGCAATGATAATGTAATGAACAATCTGTTCTGTTTTCAGCGTACAATCAGATTTTGAATTGTTCAGTCGATCCATGGCAGAAATCGATCATGACGAGTTACCTCCCTCATGCTCGGTGGAGTGTTAGTCATTTACCTCTTCACAAATGTGTCATTCCTTTGTATGACATGCATGCAAGAATGGCCACACTATTTAGTGGACTTCAAATTAAATGGTTTTTTTAGCTGTGACCTTGACCCATATGTTGCTATTTTTAAGTTTCACAATTTTATATCATCAATGGCTGTGACTTCACCAGTACTTAGTGGTTTATGTAAATGTCTACTGTATGTCACTTTATTAGGTTTGGAGGGTGATGATGAGTGTTCATATGGTTCCTTAACTCATTCACCCCTGAAGACACATTTGAACTCTTCCAATTCAAAGGTTGGAATAGTCCCTTATGGAATTTCAGGGGTGAATGAGTAAATATATGAATAAATGCATTGAAGAGTGTGCAGCACTCGTGTATGTATTAGAAGGATATTTAGTGGATGTCTACATTGAAAATGTAGCTATGAAATACTTATGAGTATAATTCAATCTAATTGAATGTTTAAAACTTATTTATGATATGATGAAATCAATTGAGAGAAAGGTCTTTTCTGGTTTTAGTTCCAAGAAGGATTGGCAATTCAGATTGAAAATAGATTTTATTTGTATTAACAGGTAAATGGAATGTTCACCTGTGTTTCATTAATGAGTAATTATTACCTGTGTATCATTAATGAGTAATTATTACCTGTGTATCATGTTAGTGCATTATCTTTGAAGCATTAACCTATTTATTTATAGATATTGGACCCATTTTTACTAGATGATTTAGATATTGACCCGTACCTGTGTGATGAGCTAAGTTACTTTGTATATACTGAATCTATTAATGCTATGTTTATTGTGGTCACATAATATCCGGTCATGATCATTTTCTGGTCATTTTACTCTTTAAATCATTAATGATTAAATCATGTTAGTAACATGGACATACTCTAATATATAGACAAATCTTTCCCTATACAAGTTTGTCATTAGCTTCCGACTCTGTTGGAGGAGATGTAAATGTGATCCGTGGTTTTTCAGTACCCATCGTTATTTGACAGGTCAGTAAGAAAATCAAACGTCATTATTTTAGAAACATTGCAGAGTACGGATATGTTAGCTGTGTTGAGTGACTTTGTCAAGATGATACAATTTTCATGTACAATAATACATACAAATGTACATTTATACTACACATTAAGCAGGTTAAAATCTAATTTCAGTCAAAATATTGTTCTGATCTTGGATTGCTCTTAATTATCCACCAGGTATGTTTCCAATAATGTAAGTCTCAAAACTTCACTTTTTAATGGAGTCTTTAGTTTTCAAATATCATCTTTTATTACTGTAGGTGTTAATTTGGATTTTTTTATGCCATACAGGTAGTTACGGTTGGGCATTGATTACATTTTTGTTCCTTTTGTATTAATGTTCCTCCTAAGTCATTGAAATAATTAACTGTACCTGTTACTATGGCAATAGTTGAGATATGTTGACTGTGACATCTTAGCCTAAACTAACATTCCATCTAGTCCTGTTGACAAGGTCACTCTAATTTCCTGTTTAATCACGTACCAGTGAAGTGTTTTGTGAAGTATTGTGAGGTTATTTGTACATATTACGTACCAGTGAAGTGTTTTGTGAAGTATAGTGAGGTTATTTGTACACATTACCATAGCAACATTCCATTCACATGATTTTACACCACAACATTTTTGCTGTTACCATGGTAATTACCTATATCATTTCATGTTGACAATTGTTTATCTTGTTTTTCTGATGGAGTAGCTAAATATCATACTTCTACAATTATAATGTACAGAGCGTCAACCATTAGCTGCAAGCCAAACCATTTGTCCATAATTAAAGGCAATACATACTTGTAGCCATGGCAACTGAAATTGCTAATTATTGTTGTCAGAAAAAAACTCATATTCTGTCATAATAACAGCTGGTACTTAATCGGTTTACCATGATAACACTTGGCCCTAATAGCTTGGCATTATGACATAACAAGAATGTTTTTTACAAGCAGTCAATACCTTTATCTGAGATAGCTCTTACCTCCGCATCTCTTGTCAGTTATACTCTGTTGAAATGGTACCCTATATATCATGTCACCATGGAAACCATGATGTCATGATTGTTCCTCGTTCTGCATACTTTGGCTGATTCAGATTTTTCATCAAGTTATGTGTAGCCATGGGAATGTGATGAATTCATTGTCACCATGGTTACCGCTAAACTGTGATACTGTATCACTGATGTGTAGTGAATACATTGTAGATATCTACATTAGAGTGGGCTAAACTTTGATGTGTGGAATACTAGAAGTTTGTGATTATAAAATTGTAAATGGATGTAACTTGTAGTATACATGTTTTATGTGTAGTCCAAAGGGGGATATTGTAAGATAATTTGTAAATGTTGTTAAGTGTATGAAATACAGCACATCACTGTGAAATAGAAATGTAAGAACTCGGGGCTGAGCAATATGTAGAGACATCTATTAATTGGTCAGTGATGAAGATAAAAAACTTGTATTAAAATATTAGGTTATAAATACTTACTATAATTTTATTTGCATTGTAAATTCTAGGTTTTTGAATGTCATACACTATTAATGTACGATGTGTATATTATTGTATTATCTTTATGTCACGAATATGGAGTGCAATGTTTGTTAGCTGTCTACTCTCTACATTCAAAAATTGTACATGTGTCAGCCCTGGTCATATGTGTCTGCTTTCTGTGTTCACTAGACTAAGTAACATGTACAAACAGAGCTTACTCCTGAAGGATGTGTACATGTTATGTTAGATGTTATATAACATGAAAAATGGAAAATGTTAAATGATGAGTTCATGAAAAGAGTTGTATGAAGTCTATATAACTCGAAATTTACCACTGATATCCATTTTGATCTGTATGATGACGATGAATGTATTACATATTTATGTAGGTTATGTGTACTTCTTTTGTGTACATTGTTTACATAATTTGTGTACTATGTATACATAATTTGTGTACATTGTCTACATAGTTTG